CGCCGCGGCTATCTCCTCGCAAAACGTCCCGCCCAGTCCTAAACCCAGCAACAGGAAAGCAAGTTTGCTATGATTACCAACGGCGTGAAGGGTGCCGCTTTGCCTCTTCATGTAAATATGATCATGTTTGCATCAAACCTCAGTGCTTGGGAACCCACCCACAATGGTAGCACCAGTCTGCTACTGCTCAAGACCCCCAATACTGAACCCACACTCAACTGCAGAGCTCCCTCCAAATAGTATTTTGACTACAGAACTAGCAGGAGATGTCTCGACCACATTGTTAAACGCAGGGACTAATCCCGTCTTAAGGACACCACTTCCCGCAGAGTGTGGGGAAAGTTTACCCATTCATGCAGGGCCCTTTTCAGAATTTAAGCAGCAGCCCCAAGCAGCCCAGGTCTCCACAGACTTAGTTTTTGAGACCTGGGCAACAGAGCTAACCAATGACCCGGACTTGGAATTTATCTTGGATGGTGTTAAAAATGGATTTCAGCTCCTCTCGCCTGATTTAATGGTTTCACATGCTTTTACACAAAACAATAAGTCTGCTCTGCGACCTGGAGCTAAAGATCAAATTGAAGCGCAATTAATCAAAGGTCTCCGAGAAGACCACTTTGCTATCGCAGACAAGACCAACATGCCAATTATCATTAATGCCCTTGGAGCCGTACCAAAGAAGGACTCCGATGAATTACGAATGATCATGGATTGTAGCCGACCCTTAACGATGAATGCTAACTCATATATGGATTTAGAACACTACAAGTATGTTACCGTTGATGATGCAGCAAATCTCTGTCAACCTGGTTGTTGGTTGGCAAAAGTTGACTTAAAACATGCCTACAGAAGCGTTGGAACACACCCCGATAGCTGGCGAGTTACAGGAATGTCGTGGCGCTTCAACGACTCAAAACACCCCACCTACCTCTATGATAAGCGTCTACCATTTGGAGCCAGGGCCTCACCAATGGTTTTTCACCGCCTCACACAAGGGATCTGTCGTATGATGGCCCGGAGAGGGTATACTGTGCTGGCATATCTTGATGACTTCCTTATCATCGAACCAACCCAACTTCAGTGCAAAGTAGCTTTTGACACCCTGTTAAACTTGCTAGAGTCTCTTGGCTTCACTATCAACTGGAGCAAAGTTGTCTACCCTACCCAGTGCCTGATTTTTCTTGGAGTTGAAATCGACACTGTTCAGTGTGAACTCCGCCTCTCAGACGATCGTGTGTCAGAGTTGTTATCCCTTCTCAAGGAAACAAGCTATAAAAGCAAATGTACCAAGCTTCACCTCCAACGACTCCTTGGCAAGCTTAATTGGGCAGCACGTGTTGTTCGAGGGGGCCGCACATTTTTCAGACGGCTTATCACCTTGGCAAACTCGGTTAAACGCCCGCACCATCGCGTCTATCTTAACCTGAATGCAAGAGCTGACCTCATGTGGTGGACCCGCCTCCTGCCTGCACACAACTGTAAAACTTTGTTCCCCTCAGCCATCCCTGAACTTCCTACAGCAGTGCTTACTGATGCCTCCCTGTCTGGCGGGGGGTGCCTATGGGCACCAGACTGGATGTACGTCAACTGGGCCTTGGACTACCCATCTCTATGCTCTCTCCATATCAATTACAAGGAGACATTTACCATTGTTTTAGCTGCACACCGTTGGGCACCTTTCTGGTCAGGTCACCGAGTAGTCGTCAAAACAGACAGTCAGGTGGCTGCAGCCATTCTGAACAAAGGCTCAACCTGTTGCCCGGTGATCATGGACTGGATTCGTTCTCTGTTTTGGCTTAAGGAGTATTACAACTTCAGTTTGTTCGTCAAGCACATTCCAGGAGCAACCAACACTCTAGCAGATAGTATTTCACGCCTTAATGATGTGCACTACTGGCCAACGTTCCAAGCATGGCTCTCCAAATCCTCTAGATCAAATGACTTCGAATCTCACATGTCGCCATTGTCTCTTGCTCTCCTTAGATCCAAGGGATCAGCAGCAACTTGACCGTGAAGTCGCCAATTTCCGGCGTCAATCATATGCACCTACTACCAAGTCCACCTACATGAGTCAAATGCGTTCATACCTCTCCTTTTGTGTATACTACGGCTACCAACCTCTCCCAGCAGCAGCATTAACCCTTAATCGCTATGCAGCTTTTCTACTAAGGTCACTCTCAGCATCCTCCATCCCAGCCTATTTAAATGCGATTCGCATTCTACACCTTGAACATGGTCTGTCTGACCCAACTAAAAACAATTTTCAATTGGCATCTACACTTCGAGGAATCAAGCGTGTAAAAGGTTTAACAGTGTCCCAAAAGAAGCCGATTACACCCCAGATCCTATTAGTCTTCAAGAGTCATTTGCATTTGGACAGCCCTTTACATGCAACCTTCTGGGCAGTTTGCCTCGTAGCGTTCTTTGGCCTCCTTCGTAAGGCGAATTTGCTATGCAAAGGATCAACAAAGTTTGACCCATCCAAACACCTGCGTCGAGGAGATATCCTTTTCTTCAATGACTGGGCCATCATTATCAATCGATGGTCGAAGACCATCCAATTTAGTCAGCGCATTTTAACTGTTCCGTTACCTCGCATTGCTCCACATCCACTCTGCCCTTATTCCGCTCTCAGACATGCCTTTGGCTTGGTACCAGCACCTTTATCGGGCCCAGCCTTTATCATCCCAGCATCCACGGAGGGGGGCCTGACTCCTCTGACTTATGGAAAGTTTGACTGCCTTCTAAAACTAGTAGCAGCCAAGACGAACTTGGACCCGTCTCAAGTTAGTGGACATAGTTTTCACTCGGGCGGGGCCACTCTGGCTTTTCAAGCTCAAATCCCTGCAGAACTGATTAAGCGTTTAGGAGACTGGCAGTCAGATGCTTATAGGTCTTATATCCACATCCCAGTTAAAGACAGAATGCTAGCAGTTAAGCGTCTCGCTTCGTTTGTTTAGATTTTTTTTTTTTCCCTCATGGAGACTTTTGTCTGGGGTTAGGTCGTGCCTCCCTTGGGCAAATGTTATTAAATGGAAGGGTTCACTTCGGAGCCCTTCCCTGTTTACCCCAGACTTGATTGTTGTAGTTTTATCTATTTACATTCGTAGAGAGTTAAGTCTAAAATAATTGCATTTATTTGTATTTAACTCTAGCCGAAGGGGGGGGAGGACTGGCACTAGTTTATTTCTTTGTCATGCGCTCTACGCAGTTCTTTCGCCATGTGCTTTAACAGATCGTTACTTCGCTGCCCTCCCTTCCCCCCCTTTTTAGTTTTCTTTTTTGTTGTTGTTGTTGTCACGTTTTTCCATGTATTCCTGTTTTGTACATTTGCTGTATCTTGACCGTCTCAGTTGGGCAAATGTTATTAAATGGAAGGGTTCACTTCGGAGCCCTACCCTGTTTACCCCGGACTTGATTGTTGTAGTTTTATCTATTTACATTCGTAGAGAGTTAAGTGTGTATGACGGTTGGCCGCAGTGACGTGTCAAAATTCACAGAAGGGAGTTGGCAAGGATTGTTTACAGTAAACAATGAAAGAGCAGTTCGAACTTTGAAGCCGTCTTCTGAACAAAAAAAAGCTTTGAGGTAATTCCTTCAAGGCCAGAATTTTCTTGTAAATTTGCCGGCTGGTTTTCCAGCGTCTTCCAATTGCTGCAGATGCACTACCACGTATTCCGCAATCTAGCCAATAGTTGTAGAGTCAAAACAAATCAAGAAATCATGATATTCATGACCAAAAAAAAACTACACACATGTAGCTACTCAGGTCCAGGCATTTTATTGAAAACCAAAGAAACTAAGGTTATTTAGCCACCATAAAAAAGCTTAAGGCTTTAACAGAGGTAAAGGAAAATCATTTATGCACCTGTGATCAAATCCTGTCAGGAAACATTTGCCAAAAAATAAACCACAGGAACTAATTACTCAATATGCATGGAACAGACCAACTTCAAAACCTCTAAATGTAGGTAAATGTGAGACTCAAAGTGGCAAAAAAAAATTTTGCTTAGTCAAATTGTAAAAGACTCATTGCACTGTATAAATTACTCAAAAAGAGAGCAAGAAAAACCTTTGTTGTTCAAGCTACTCTAAGGTCATGTTTCACACTATCACGAGCTCAATCTCTCTTGTCATGAGCTATAAGTCATGTTTGGCCTGTCAACACTTAATTCAAATCAGACTAATCACAAACTGCGTAAGAAACTAGCCAATCAAAAACACCGACATATGTCTCTGCAATTCTGCGGGATTCGAACATGATCTTGTGCACTAATTCACAGATGCTCTATACAGAAGGTTTAGATTGTCTGCGATGCAGGCAAGCGTGGCTTGAATACTAGGACATATAAAAGTAGTGTCCCAATAAGTACTTTCATGCTAAATACATTGACATTCAAATAAAGTGCATTTGTTTTATTTTATTTTATTTTTCACAAAATATTTCTATTTGGTTTATTAAAACAATGACCAGAAGTGGCACATAAAATCACAATTTATTTCAAGCTTAGTTTTAATTTTAATTTAATATTATTGCAGAAATTATTAGAAATGAGAACACTGTCTTGAAAAAATTAATGTTTCCTTGTAGTGTTCATTCATTGTCCTATTTCAGCCAGTGTCAATTGTCAGTTCTATGCCACTAAAAATAACTTATGTACCGTCTGATCACTGTTACTATTCTTATTATTATCATTATTTCAGACCCTAGGGCAGCCAACTGCAGCATTTTAATGCAAGGAGAACCAGAGAGCTTCTTCTTCAAAGTACATTGAAAGCAGTTTTTTCAGCTCTGTGTTTGTTTTAAGCCTGCCAATCCCAATCACAATTTCTCAAAGGTTTATTTTTTAACCCTGCCCTTCTCACCCATATGCTTCATATACAGTGTTCAGTTCATTTCCTATTAACAGCTATATTTTTTTCGCATAGTACATTGCTAAATAAAAAAATCTATCTGACAGGTCAATGAAGTGGTGGAAAGTAAAACAGAAAGACAAAAGAGTGTGTATTTTTCTTTAAATTTTCATCAGACCACAATTGATGAAGAAGAGGTTGAAAGACTGAGCAGACCAACAAGTGACTGGTGGAGGCTAAATGGGGACTTTGCTGCTCTTCATTCCATGAATAAACTTAGAGTCTCCTTCATCAAAAATTCTCTTGATCATCTACATAGCCAAAATAGTACCCTATCAAAACCTCTTGGTGGGTTTAGAATACTGGATGTTGGCTGTGGTGGTGGTATTCTATCTGAGGTAAGTTCTTTCAAACCAATCAAACTGTTTTTAGATGAAGCTTAACCTATTCAGCCCTGAACCACCCATAACCACCTGTGGACATCCAGGTCCCTTCTTCCACCTGTGATGTCATCAGTTTTTAATAAGGGTTAAGGATAACTTTGTCCGCTAACTTGAGCAGGGTGAAGAGATCTTTTATACCATGCCAGAACAAGCACAAATCAGTGGAGGAGACCAGAGAAAAAGGCAAAAATACAGAACATTGACCTGAGAATTTCCATGAAAGTCTTGTTTCACAACATTTACCCACCTACTGGTGTACCTTTGCTTTCTCTGATGCCAAGTTCCTAAAAGTTTTCCCAAAAACTTTTCCACCAAAATGAAGCCTACTAAATGCCCAGCAAAAGAAAAAAAATGAGGCAAGAGAAGGAAAAGATTAAGAGGGGAGAAGTTTGCAGGGTAAGAGAAATACCTTCATTTTCTCAGTTTCCTGTATTTTAAGACCCTGAGTATTGGTACAGCTTTGGAAATCGATCCATACCTCCTGCCCTGCAGTCAAGTGCTCTACCGACTGAGCTGAAAATATATTTTTAATGTGTTTAATTCTTAACAGCCACTTGCAAGACTTGGAGCAGAAGTAACAGGAGTTGATGCTTCTGCACGTAATATTCACGCAGCATTGAGACATGCATCACATGATCCAATGGTGGCTGACAGAGTACAGTACCAATGTACAACAGTGGAGGAACTCGCTGACAAGGAACCAGAATCATTTGACTGTGTTGTTGCTTCAGAAGTTATCGAACATGTAACAGATAAAGACACCTTTATTTCTGCTAGTTCACAGCTGATCAAGGTGGGTTAAAAGGGATCCAGTCCTGGGGGGAGCTGCAGTCATACTTTTATATAATTTATTACCATCATCTTATTTAGAAGTGTGTATTGAAGGGAGGTGCAAAAAGCTACATGTACAAAGGTACTAAAGAAAAATTTTGCTTACAATGCGAAATTGCCCATGTACATTATTATATTAAGTAAGCAAGAACATAGCCATATTCAAGTTGGCATTATCAAGTCCCTCTGAGTCTCTTGTGTTTAAGATTAAACTGGTGCCAGTACAGGTGTCTACTAAACCTGCAGGCTTATTGTGCCTTGCTTGTTAAAAAAAAAAGTACTAAAATTAATGTATCTGGTGTTATCTAACTGACGCAACTGACAATCTAGAAACAGTACATGTGCAAGTTTGAGGATTAGCTTTATAGTAGAGAGTGTTAGCTTGCGTATTTGTTGTAGTTATAAAATTTTTTCAGGTAATTTTTGTTTTTCCTTTGTTTCACCTTCATTATACCATAACCAAAAACAAAAGAAAAACAGAAATTACCCAAGATAAAAAATTAACTACAACATATAAGTCGAACTTTTACCACATGACTTTTTATCCAAAAGAACTGTTTTGAGCTGTTTTTATCTGCTCATTTTCTATCTTGAGAAATTCTCAACTTGAGTCTGACATTTGCCGATTATGTTACAGGTAAAATTGATTTCAGGTTAAATTTTTTTAACCTAGGTACGTTGATTCTCAATTTAATTGAGAATCAATTTATTTCCCTAACTATTCATGAAATAGGGCTAGGAAACAAAGGAAATTGAGAATCAACCTAGGTTAAATCAAAATGAACCTGAAATCAAATTGACTGTAACACACATTTCTCATCTATTTCTTAAATCGCTGTTGGCCAGCTAATGTTTCATAACAAGTTAGTGCTGACCAAATTTTGACAGATTATTGTACATTTATTTTTATTATTGTTCAGCAACTTTAAGCTAAAACTCTCAAATAATACAAAATGTGTTATTTGCACATCATTAATGTTTATTGATGTTTTCATTAATAAACGCCCCTTTGAACCAAGTCAGGAGGAGGGAGGCATAACAGATATCTAACATGTAACTTTTATTGGAGGGTTGACAATACAATAAAGGGAATTAAGGGGAATTAAGTGGATCTTTAGCTTACTAGGTGGTTTGTTTTACCATTACTGGCCATGTGTTTTCACTCAAGAGAACTGTTTCTTTTTAGTTTCCTGTCATTCAAAAGCCTGAATTTCATCCAATTGTTTCAAGTCGTTTTGTCCCGTCTGAAATTCATGCTAGGCATGACCAACATTAGGAGACCAAACCACACAATTAAATACATTGCTGCGAGAAACTAAAGCTCTATTTATTATTGATTTTTATACTTTGTTACTTTTCTGCCATGATATACACAGCCAGGAGGTTCACTGGTGATAACAACAATCAACCAAACAGCTCTGTCATATGCCGCAGCCATTGTAGGAGCAGAGTACATTCTTAGACTAGTAACACCTGGAACTCATGACTGGAACAAGTTTGTTACAGTTGAAGAGCTGATCGACCTCATCTCACTATGTAAGTTACCCTGCACATGATACACACTATGGCAGTGCAGTTTGAAGCTTAGGATCTTATGGCTATTTAACGTTATAATAAATTATTCTTAACTGTAGTCAAAAGCAAGAAATTTGCAAAAACTGGGAAAAATACAGTGGAACCTGTCCAAAAAAGCCCCCATGGGGACAGTACGCATCTGCTAGGACAAAATGATGCCATTGTGGATACATGGCTTTCAACTGAATAATAAAGTGTAATAAAAAAAAGACGATAACAGAAATGTGCCACCTCTGACAAGGTACACGTAATTTCTTTTGTTTTATTTGCGCAAGCCTTGGAGCTACAGTGTGAGTATAAATTTAGTGGGGGTGGAAAGTCTACCATATTTAAAAATACTTTTATTGTGGTCAAAGTCATCCTTAATTTCATGCAATACTATTTTTGCAATATTTTTTCAATCATCAAACAAAAATGGGAGAGTACATATAAAGCCTTACAGTAAAAATCTTCATTAAATTTACTTGAACTTTGAGTGACAAAGGACTTGATCAGCAATAACCAACGTATGTGTGTACACTTAAATCTCAAACTAATTTGTGTTACTTGGTTCACAAGCGCATGCAACCATTTTGTCTAGCTCTGAATCGAAAGGCTGCAGACAAAATTAAAGTGTTGACAACACTTTCACAAAGTTAAATGCCATTTTTTAATTTCCCTTCTCTAGCCATGAAAAACGGACTTGCTAAAATAAAAAATAAGTACGTTGGTAGGGTACAACCTCACCAGTATAATTTCAAAACATTTCTAATTAATTTCATAATTCAACAGAGGTTGGCACTGCCAAGTACAGTGTTTTTTTTGAAAACAAGAATAAATAAATAAAAAAAAGTTAGTGAGGATTATTTTTAACCATTTTTTTGTTTTCACACCTTTTTCTTGTAGATGGTTTAGAAGTCACAGAAGTCAAAGGAATGTTTTACTTGCCAATCTTTAACAAATGGTGTTGGATTGAAGACACAAGTGTGAACTTTGCCTTGAATGCAATTAAACCAAACATATCCGTAACCCCACCGGAAGTGACACTAGATACACAAACAAATGACACTAACACATGATAGATTTTTGTATATTTAATTGTGTACAGGAAACAGAATAAACTTTTTTTCAGTGGTACACTGAGTGGTAGTGGTCTTAATATCAGAAAATAAAATAATATTAAAAATGATAGTATCCGGTGATAAGCTCTTTCCAAATTTCAGACTCTCTAGTACTAAGGGCAAGTATCTTGCATCTGACTGGTGAACGAACAGGGTGAACAGAGGGAGAAAGCTTGATGACAGTTTGTAAAAAAGACAAAGGGTCTAATTCCCTTGGGAGCATTACCCACATTGGAAACAAAAACTTTTTTCATTTCATTTTATTTGTTTCCCCAAACCATAGATAGTACAGAATTAGATATAAGGTGAAAAAAGTAAGTAACAAAAAAATAAAATTTACAAGGAAAGAAAACATACAATACAAAATTACAGCACTTAAATTAAATCACATTGTATACATGTATAGAAAGGAGAGGAGAGGGGCACATCTAGATAAACTAATAGTGTGCCCCTTAAAGTTACATATAGCAAAAAACTTGTAATTTTTTAATGAAGAAGTAAAGAAAAAATTATGAATAGCTCAGTAAATTATTAATGAGATGCTGTTTCATTAGAGCAAGGTACCAGGGTAAAAGTGTTTTTCTAAACATTTTTGTAGATGGTTTGTATCTGATTGATTGCGGAATACCATTCCCAAACCAAAACTTACAACGTACGAGGGTAAGGGGTTGAACCTCAGTGCACAGCTTCCCTGTACAAAACTTTGTTGAGTTCCCCTCCTCCCCAGGTAATACAACCATAGAAAAACCACAGTATGATGTACATTATACTAGGGGTCAAAACTAACAATCTTTGTGCAGTGGCAAGAAAAGAGCTTTTATTAATGACAAGGATTGGTCAGTTGAATTGTGACAAAGCAGATAACTTATTAAACAACGTAATTAAAAGAAAGGAGAGTAACAGATAATCATACATATAAATATATTTTTTACAAAATGTCAATAAAAATATCCCTATCTTTAGTTTGATCATAATTAATTCTATTTTACAAGCAATTTCCAGAATACTATTATTGTCATTATTTTCCACATCTCTGCTGACAGTCACCATATCTTCTAAGGGAAGCAACAAAGGTGGAGTAGTGGATGTTGATGTGTGTTGTTAAAGGTCTGCAAAAAAATAAGAAGAAATAAGTACTAAAATAGGACACCACGAAATCCATTTCTAACTGTACAGTAATGATTCTCACATCAACCCATTTGGTAGGAAGACATTTAAGAAATGGTCCAGATAAGAACAATAGCAACAACGGCAACGAACATGTTGGAATGCAAAAAAGGTGCTAACTTTTCTATTGTCTGTACTTTGTACTTCTCATTGGCTTAGACAGGAAAAGTTAAAAAAACTTCATAAAGCGGTACATATATTTCAACCATCTTCCATATAACAAAATCTGGTCTCAGTTTGAATAACAAAGAAATCCCATGTGGGAATATGTAAAATTGTAAACTTTTCTTGGCTATTGTTTTCAACTCTTGTGATTGGTCAAAATCTTTTAACACAAAAAAAAACACCCTTTCAAAGTGCAGTGTAAATACATTTTATTGCGTAAACGGCCTTCATGTAGGGTTATGCATTCTCTGTGTAAAAATGAGAACATTCCTATGTGGGAAAGCACAGTTGCCGCATAACAAAAGAAATTGCTATCCACCTTACCACGATCATTACTTAATGGATATTAAAGAATCTTTTTTTGTGTGTGTATATGCACCACGTGCTTTAAAAGTGTTTCAATATGGAGGGGATTTTCCTCCTCTTTTTTTTTTGTGAGAGAATGCCGACTGATAAAAGTACAATGTACATTATTTGCATTTATTTCAGTAGTAAATGAAAATATTTATCATTAAGTTACAGTTATTGCGGAGGCATGCATGGCCTGACCTCAATGGGGGAAGTTGGGAAGAGAAACGCCTGAATTCCAAGCTTTATAATGCCGTAGGTCTGGTGATGTCACCTTATAGTAACTTATGTATTTTTGCATGAATTTTGATTTCGTGACAAGTTGGAAACCATAAGTCACGGAACAGTGAACAGCAGCATGCGTATGGTCAATATGAATGTTATTGTTCTGTGTTTTGAGTGCCATACAGCTTGACAATTAACAAAGCCTCCAGAATAAATGTACAGGGTCATTTAAAGGAGCTGTGTCACGAAATTCTGTTAAATTAAGTCATTAAAAAATGCTCGTTAAGTTAAGAAAAACAAAAAAATAACAACTTAAAACATTAAAGGAAAGTTAAAATAACACAACAGATACAACAGACGCCACGGATGGGCAAACCTGAAGAATGAACTGACTGCCGTGACACAGCCCCTTTAACGTTTTGAGTTTGAAATGAAGTGTTCACAGGCTAAAGATTTGGAGTGAGCTTGAAGTACAGAGGTTCCCTGTTTCTTTCTTAGTTATTGTAGCTCTATCTTTACTCATACAGTACAGTTATATGTACTGTAAATGTATGTACCAACATCACACATTACAATACATTTAATCAATTGGTATTATTGACTAGTCATTACATACAACTGTAACTTACAAAAATTCTGTTAATCTGGTTTGCCATGGAAGAAATCCCATTATCATCTTAAAGCTACCAAACTTGAGTGCTAGATCAGGATCTGGCATGCCACAAGTAGCTGTAAAAATGAAAAATTAATTGCTAAAAAAAGTAATCTACACTCAAACCCTATTAATAAGGACAATGAAATGGCCATAGAAAGTGTTCATATTAATGGGATGCCTGTAGTAAGTGGGTTAAATTTAGAGAAAAATCAAAATGTAAGTGATTTTTTTGGCCCAGGGACAAAGCAAACTGTCTGTAATAATGAGGTGTCCACATTAAGTGGGTGTCCATAAAGTGGGATTTGACTGTATTTATTTACATGTGTACAATATTTCTCAAGTCAAATGGATGGGAACTGTCATGACCATTGCTGTGTATAGAAGGTAAAACCATACATGTAGATATAGATCAAGTGGTCACTGCTTTCACTGATACTGCTATTGACAAAAACTTAAAAATCTTCATGCTCAGTACATGTTAATTCAATGGTTAAAAAGGGATGGAAGGATTATAGGAAATCAAGAAATTCCAACATCCTGAATTCTCCAACAAGCAATCTCCGTCAATAAAAGAAATATTTCAGGGATTAAGCTGAATTGTTAAACTTAAAATACAAATTTAATTTTCTTTGTCCAATAGAGAATTCATCAAATAAACTGAACACTTGCACCATATTCACACTAATAATATTATTCAGTTATAGTTGGAAAGCTTTGGCTCACTCCATTACATAATAGCTTGCATCATCAAAGACAGTCTAAATCTCTGATCCCTATGCACTACATGTACATTGAGTTCTCCAACTAGGTCTTGAGTGACAAATCCGGCTGTAACGCACGCTATTGCATGTACATTCTGCATTGATTTTGTTCAGCACCTTTTAAAAGGCTGTTTAAATAGTCTGGCTCCATTTCTTTTGTTGCTCTTCTTTTTGTCTGAACGTCTTGGCAAAATTCTCTGGCAGCTTCCACAATGTCTCCTTTACCATCCTTTTCTGACAGCAGGGTTATGCATACCTGTGTTGGAGCTGCAGAGATATAACAAGATTAAAAAAAAAGTAATACAATGCTGTACCTCAGAGGGGTACATTGTATACTCCCTTGAGTATCCTAAATGGGTGTGGTTTTCAGAGTCTGATGCCTTAAACAGGGTATGCAATATTTTACATTATATTATTTCACTATTTAGAATCTTGACTTGAACAGGGTAACAGTTTTTTAGAAGTCATTGGAAGAGTGTGAAGGTTGGCAACGAGCAGTCTACATTTTGTTGTGCCAACAATTTTTTTCCAATAAATACTGTAGTTTGAAGAGTTACTTAATCCTGTATGCAAAATGAAATGAATCAGGGCTATAAAACAAGGATAATGAAATGAACAGTTTTCGACAAAACTAGTTACTGTATTTATTCAATTAACTGCCCAGCTGGGCACTTATTAAATTTTTGGACCTTGAGAAAGGGCGCTTATTTGAGGTGGGCACTTATTCGAGGCTGGGCACTTATTAAATTTTCACAATTTCAGCAAGTGTAGAATGCTTATTTTGTAACAAAACAATTATAAATGGTAATAACAAAGCAAGGTTTCTGTAAAATACTCTGAAGAAAACTCCATCTTCGGGGAAGTCTGCTATTAGTGCTTGTTCATTTTTTTTTTTTGGTTGGGAGGTGAAAGGTGGTGGGGTGGGGGTGGACACTTATTCGAGGTTGGGTGCTTATAAACTCTTTCTGGCTTTAGGATGGGTGCTTATTCGAGGTGGTTGCTAATTTGAGGTTGGGCGCTTATTCAAATAAATACGGTATTCAAAATTTTGCAGAAGTTGATAAATTAAAAGACCAGGGTGTAAAGAAAGTCAGTTTTACAGCCTGTCATTCGGGCAAGCTGTACCTAGCATGTACTAGCCCACAAGTCATTTCAACTAGCCCCAAAACCCTTTTTGATTAGCAGGATTCATTGCAATCCTTCTGTAATTTGAATTGATTGCAATCCTTCTGTAATTTGAATTTCCCCCAAAAACAGCACTTGCCTGTCGGGCAAGTTAAGAACAAAAATCACTAGCCCGATAGCAAAATCCACTTGCTCCGGGCTATCAGACACTACTTTCTTTGCACACTGGGAGACTCAGCATCTTTAAAAGAATATGTACCGCATATGTACATAATCCTGGCCAAGAAGCCGACAGGTGTTTACAGAGATCCGAACAGTTTGAACTTTGGACAAACTATTAGCAGGGTCTAGAGAATTTTTTCCACATACACGGTAAGTAAACATCAAGAGCCTTCCATCCAAATGCTAAATGGCAGAAAAGCACAAAGAAATTTAAAAGAAACTCGTTAACTGATAGCCCTTGATAAAAGCAAGATTTCCTCTCCCCCACCCCTAATAAAAAAGAATGTTGAAAGAAACGTAACACTATGGTCATTGGTCATAACGTTGCCTGCACACAGCAGAACGGATTGAACACTCTGAATCACAAGACTCGTGATACGAGTCAAGTTCAGGTCTTTTGGACGGAAAGGGTGAAGTTCAGTCGGAAGTGCTTAACTCATCTCCCGGTGTTTTTAATACCTGAGGCATCAACTTTCATGCAATTTGAGTAGGTTGGACCCCAAGGAGGCAGGGTTAGGTTTCTAAAAACGCAATCAATAAATAACAATCTGAGAATATGCAAGAATATCTTCTTTAATGAGAGTTTGTAGATACGATTTAAGTTACGGATCTAGTCAAAACTCACCCAATAATTCACAATCAAACTTCACGTCCTTTGTTCTCAAAACAAACGTAAACTTGCTGGATTCCTCTTCGAAAACTTCTTTTAGCTTCTTTATAATTTCGCTTGATAAAGCTGCAGCGTTCTTCTTTAACAAACCTGATCGATCAAGAACATAGGCTCTTATATAAACGTGATTTCTTTAGCATTACTATCAATCAATAGCTACCTGTCAGGTTCATTAAATTGGAAACCAACAAGTAGTACTAAGCTTACATGTGCAAAGCTTACTCCACGTACCGGAATTGCATCATATCAAAAAGGTAGTAAAAACAACCTACCTTCTCTGTCATATAAGCTAATATACTGTATTCTCATAGCCATGGACCATACAATGAGATGAGCAAGATCTACAAAATTAATGTCAGACTCCAAAACCACGAAGCTGATGTGTCGTGGAACTTTCGTGAGGTCTTTTGAGTCTTCTCTGATTTTCCAATAAGTGCACGTCCGTAAACTGAGCGAAAAATATCGTCTAATTTGCTGAAATAAGGTGACTGTAACTGTCTTTAAATATACTAAGAGGTATAAAAAACTGAGAAAACATTTAAAGACCCACATCGTGGGTTAACACTTCTGGAAAATACTGTTACCGGCGCTCAATGTCCATTTTGAAAAATTTCACTCGAAACGAACACCAGTGAAAACTGACAGCGTGTGAGCATGCGTACGAGACTACTAACCACGTGCAATTTCCGGTTACTTTTCAACAGTGTGGATTGCGTGACGCAATAGTTTTCATCATTCTGAACGTCGGTTTGTTTCCCAGTTTGTGGAAAAAATTAAATATCACTAAATCAGTAGAGATGTGATAATAAACAGTTGTTCTTTTAAATAAAAAGAACGGAAAACGTAACTCATATTTTCTTAACCAAAGATTTCTTTGGTTTCCAGGTAAACGGTAACGCTAGGTAAAAAATTTACAAAAGCGTGGCACTTTACTGATTGACCCATTTACCCATTGACCAATTTACCTATAATGTTAAACTTTATAATCCTTGAAAAATATATGCATTAATTTCGTAGAAAAAAAAATGTACCAAGAACCAAAGTGATGGAAAATAAAATTCAAGTAGAAATCCAAGGCTCCGAGGAGTCTGGGAAGGAAGGAAGGAAAAAACAACATGGCGGCTCTGTCGAGGACATGTTGTGGGTTTCTGAAGTTGCAGTTGACCTGCAAAGTAGGAACTCCACGGGTGTTTCTTAGGCCAGGCTTAAATATTGGATTAAACCGTTTGTACAGCTATCCGGTTGTACAGGTAAGGGAGTGTTTGTTAACTAGAATGATTATTATACAGGTCGTGAAGTCAAGTAAAATTACTTGCTCAGACTCTCACTGCCAAAGCAGACGAAACAGCTAGTAACTTTACAGATATGTTTTTACCTTATTAATTAAGACAGTTTATAGTTTAGCGTATTTTATCAAAGATCTTTTTGGCAATCAGAAACACCAGTTGAATTTTACAAGAAATAGGTGTATAATTTTCCTTTGTTCTTCTAAAGGTACGTAGGGTCGGGAACGTTCCAAAAATTGCCAAATGTAACAGGGTGAAGCACCAAATCTTGCCACCATTTTGCCAGGATCAAGCATATCATTGCAAGATCATCGAGGCGATGATCTTTAACTGCGTGCAACATCAAAGTTTAACTTCAGATAAATTTTCCAATAATAATGCACACAATCAATGTGTATGAAACAAAACTACTACAAAGCAATTTCAGCACAGCTATGGTACTGGATATATAGCCACATATTGAGCTTGTTTAAGCATTAAGTTATTTCAACCTATGTTGATTATCAATTTCCTTTGTCAGACTTTTAGCCTTGATTATTCATGAATTAGGGCTAGGAGACAAAGAAAATAGAGAATTCACCTAGGTTAAAAAAATTTCAACCTAAATATAATTTTGACCTGAAACATGCCCTGGATACGGGACTTCACCACATAGTTGGCTCCAATAGATGAGCACCAGGCACTGGGTTCATACCATGGCTTAATGGTGTGCCAAACACTGATTATAATATCATTTGATCACTGATCAAAGACCATGAGGTATACCATATCGATTATGGAAAATGTCAAATCAATTACTGCTGAAAAATAAAAATACACACAGTCAAACCCACTTCACGGACATCTGCTTAATACAGACACCTCATTATTACGGCCAGTTTGCTTTGTCCCTGGCCAGAAGAAAGCCATAACATTTTCTCGATATTCAACCTGCTTAATAAGGACACCCCGTCAGTATTATATGGACACTTTCTATGGCCCCCTCAGTGTCCAATTTAACAACGCTTGACTGAATATTGTTGAAAAATAAGCAGGGTTGTCAAAATGATTTGAAGTAGCCGGAGAATGAAAGTGAGTAGGCGGCACTGGGGGCCAGAGGCCCCCCCAGGAGGCGAGGGGTCTGGGAGCTGCCTAGGCCCCCAGCAGGGTACAGGAGTAGCGCACCGTTGGGGGTCCAGGGGGCGAAGCCGCCGTAAGCAAAACGGATTTGAGGTTTTTGCGCTAGCTGAAATTGGCTCTCCTGAGAGCAATGCTAACAATCCTGAGTATTTTGAATGAACATCATCAATTAGTTTTTTTTATTCCCCATTTCATTATTCTCTTACATGCCATATCCTAGTACATGTTAGGTCCATATTTGTTTGTTTACAATAATAATGTTTACTATTTCTCAGATTTTTTTAATGATAACAGATTAAGAGTGACAAAATTACCATCAGCAATGCCGCCGTCACGCAAAGCAAAGGAAAAAACAGACGTAAAGTCACCGGGAAGAAAAAACTTACTGTTGGTCAACAAAAGCTAGTTTACTTTAGAACACTTTTGTATCAATAATATCAACAAAGTCACCTTCACTTCTTGCTCTTTTGCTGAAAAAGTTGACCAGAGGGGACTGTACATCGTTTAGCCATTTTCTCATACAAACTCCGAATATACCAAGACCACGTGTGGATTGAGCAAGTGTAATTGGATACCAAGAGCAGGAATATTTATTTGTTTCCCTTTGTTGCATTGCATTATTGGCACAAGTGCAAGTCAAACTTTGATGCAGAATTTAAAATGCTTTTCTTACGGGCGATTTTCTGTATAAGAATGAAGTTTCAGACAACTTTCCTTGGAAGATTCATCACAACAAATTTTATTTCTGCACATGTATCATATCATGCACAACTCTTTATTGGCATCACTCTATGAAAAAAAACGAAAATGATGTTCTACACGTCTGACAAATTAACCAACGTTTTCGAATGCGTCAAGTTTGTCAGCCAATTTCATGTACATTTTAAGATAGGTACTTTAATACATCGCATTACATTTGATTTGATTTCAAATGCAAACTCGTACCAGATGAGTGCGAAAACCACTCGAAAGCTTTCGCGTGTCTTTATTCTTCATTGTCAATGAAGGATTATTTTAAAGACTATGTAAACAAACCCGTCGCATGCATCAACGCTATTTTTATTCGCTTCGTTGTATCATATTACGGCTACAGAAAGAAGTAATCGGGAGCGGATTAGAAAACACGTTTCAAAATCACAAAAAGAACATTCACGACATGATGAAAACAATTTCTTTTTCTATTCTATTTTCTACTTTACAACTTTTTTTTAATCCTCTATTTTTCCCTTTTCTCCAGCAATTTACAGCCGGTGAAAACCTCAGAGTAGCCGGCGATAGCACCGGTCGCCGGCGCATTTTGACAACCCTGAATAAGAATGTTAAAACCTTGGTGTTTTCTTTTAAGGAAATATTTCATGACATAATTTGGGCTCAAATCTCCTTTTAATTTATTCATAACAGGCACCTTGAAAAATTTCAGAATTTACAAGGAGTTGTATGGAAAACCACACAAGCATGAGTGGGTGGCAAAAGTTGTTTTTCTCGTACAAATCATTCTAATTTTCGGCAGCTGTTGCAATTGCTACTTTTGAGATATACGACTAAAACTTTACAGGTTAACTAATAATTAGGTGACCTGTAAATTTTTAGCCGTATACATGTCTCAAAAGTAGCGAATAATAATTAATAATATTTATTTTGATTATTTTGATATGCTCTTCAGTTTCAGCTCGTGCTAACAAAATTTTTTTCATAAAGTGAACTGTTTTAATAGTGTTTACCAAAAGTGGATCACATGATCAACTAATGCAAAAGGTCTATTATTGATTGTCTTCTAAAATAATTTTCATCAGAGGTCATGTGGACATCATGTAAGGTATAACACAGCTCCAACAAGGACATTGCAGTCCATAAGCAGTAGATTTACCTCTTATAAGGTATGTTCCTTACTAAGTCAAGTCATCAGATCATAGAAACCCCTCTTTAGAACTGCACCTTACTAAAACTTATAATACCTTGAAGCAGCAACTTTCACAGTATTTTAATCATTTTAATAACTAAAGGTTTAAATTTTGTACAGTTGTTGTTGTTTCAAACTCATTAGAGACCTTTAGATTCTAAGACAAGTATGACTACGACTACGAGATTTTCTCAATACTAAGTAGTGCTCGCGAAAGAATTTTTACCAGCATCATTTTGGCGGGAAATGTGGTAGCCATTGTCATTCTACTACAAGTTTTAGCGCGAATGTCGTGCTGGCAAAAACAAGATTTAAAATGTTAGAAGTTTTATCATTTTGCGATCGGGAAAGAGCGTAACCTCCTTCACTTAAGATAACAGTGCTAACTTTTCTAGTGAAATATGGTAAATGAAGCTTTCCGGGAAGTCTATAGTTTGAGAGTAAGCGAAAAAACTTTAAGTTAAATCTCGTACTCATAGTCATCCTCGTCCTCGAATCTAAAGGTCTTTATTATCATATTACATTACCTTAGCCCAACACAAAGGAAAAGAAAATTTTTGTTAGGATAAAATTGAACCATAATGTAGTCAAAGAAAATGACTAAAGAATAGCAGGGAACCAAGTATAGAATGTTCATCTTATGAAGGAAGTCCTCAACATGGAAGAGTTGACTTAAGTTTCTATTTTGCTTAAATCTCTTAGCCAGGACTTCACTTTTTACCAAAGCGACAGCAACATGGTGGAGCTAATGTGACTGCACAAAGCTTAAAGGGCGTCAATAGCTTGACGATACTCAAGAGGATGCTTAAACATGTCTGGCCAAAGGACAGACCAGATCTCAAGAGAAGAGTGGTTGCTGCAGTCACACTACTCATTGGGGCTAAGGTGAATGACTCCTAAATGATATAGACTTGATTTTGCTAAATTCAGACTGTGCATTCTAGATTAAGCACTCTATATACCCTTGGCAAAGGCTTGATTTTGGCCACCTTATTTGTCCTTCTGGAGAACAGGTCTGTGCCTTAAATTCAAATGTTAATCAGTGATGCATTGTTACATTAAACACCAGAAATGGAGAAAATGTTGTCAGATGCTGAACACATTTTTTTCTTCTTTGTTGGTTTGGTCTTGCCCAGTTAACACAGCAGCAATGCCTAGTGATTTACAACAGAATAGAATAGAAAACTTTATTAATGTGTTGGAGCCGTATAGCTTGGGAAAAACCACCATACTAATTTGGGGACACAATTTATAATTAAATAATAAAATTAGAATTACCTATACAATGTAAAAGTAACAATATTTAAACTATGCATAATATATTATAATTTTTAAAATGATTATCTAAAATAACTGAGAGAGAATTGTAAAATTAAATGGTTATGATGTGCACTAGAGAACAGCTCATGCATCTATCATCTATCATTGAGCTTATATCATTTTTACGAGTTCTGCTTTTAAAGATGTTCAAAGTTTTTGCTGATGTTAAATCAGGAGGTAATTTTCACCATAACCTAGGCCCAAGAAGTGGACTTAAACTCTTCTCTTTCAAGAATGCTGCCAACAACCATAAGTGCAGACTGGAAAATAATTAACAATCCAGATCCAGTTGGTTGAATTACAAAAAAATCCACAACACCATTTTAATTTACCAGCTTACATTGTAGGAATACTTCCTATCCATTACTCATCATATATGATAATTATGGTCATTTGCCACTGGGTTAACACTATATCCCTTTTGGTTTAAGGGTGCAAGTTTTTCCACAACACATTATAATGTAACATTCATTTAAATACTTTGCTTCTTCAGCTTTTGAATGTTCAAGTTCCATTCTTGTTTAAGTATGCTGTTGACTTCCTCAACAACTTGGATCCCTCCACTTTAGCTCAAACAGCGGGTGGAACTACCTTCACTATACTTACAGCTCTTCTTTTAGGATGTAAGTGGTTATAGATTTATGTAACATTCAGGGGCGTTACTAGAAATTTTCCAGGGGTACTTCCGTACACGATTTTTCCAAATCACCCCTAACCTGGCTTGTACATGTAAATCATTTTCATATGGGGTGACTTGATGAAATTTCTGTTTTTTATCAATGTGTTCAGTGGTAATTAAGACAGAATCCATTAGGAAATTGAGTACCGGTAATTTTAATTTTCAGTGGGTAAAATCAGTATCAGAATAGTTTCAATCATTGCATTCTTTTTTGTATAAACACTTTTCAAGGGTCATAAATTATGTAATATTAGTTATGTAAAATGACTCTAAAGAAAAGATTTTTATAGGAGCCCGAGAAAACAATCTTCAAAAGCTCCAAATTTCACAAAATGAAATCGTACGCATGATGATTTTACCGTGTTTTCTCAATTCCTGTGAAATTTGAAATTTATTTTCTCAGACTCCCATAAGAACCTTTTCTTTGAGTTATATCCAGTAACGTATTACAAATTATGGCTTTTGAAAAGTGTGAAAAAGAATGTGGTACAAGGTTTTTGTCCACTGAAAATTAAAATGACTCATTTATTTTTCCTGATGGATTCCATCTTAATCATCTCTCCTCTTCCAAGGACCTTGCTTTTTCATTGATGAAAAAAAATACAAAAAAAATTATTGTATTTATGTTGGTAAACATCTTCCAGATTTAGTCAATGCTACAATGTAGCTGATTATGAAGAATAAGCCAGAGGATTCAAGCCAATCCCATATGTTGATAAAGTTGATAGATAACTATGAGTTTTAGTTTGATAATGATCTTTATACTAAAACTACTGTCAGCTTTGGGACCGGATCTATGTGTCCATCTTAGAGAGAGTCAACCAAAGGAGGGAAGAAAGGCTGTCGCAAATTATAGGTGTCCTTTTCAGCAGGGTGTCCATCTTAAGAGGTGTCCATTAAGAGGGAATTGACTGTGGTTAAATGAATGCTTGATTTGGAATTTCTAAATAAAGTTGACACTTATTGTGACCCGCTTGTGGTTTGTAGATGGAGCAGCGCGTACAAGTGCCTCACTTTTCAATGAATTAAGGAATGCAGTATTTGCCAAAGTTGCTCAAGGATCAATCCGCAATGTTGCACGGCGGACCTTTGTTCATCTTCACAATTTGGACCTGAGCTTTCATTTGAAAAGACAGACTGGTGCATTGTCCAGAGCCATCGACAGAGGAACAAGGTAATAAGTAAATAAACAACCATTACAAAATACCATGTATAAGCCCCACCACTAATAAGACCGCCCCCCTCCCCGAGTCCCATCTGCCTGCTAAAAAAAATCTGATTTTAACCCTCCTCTCCCTCGGATATAAGCCCCCTAAAAATGTATTGAAATGAATTTAATTTATTATGACGTCTTAAAGCCAGTAGATGCAAACGGTATTTTAATCAGCACTGATACAGCTTGTTTTGAAGTGCTTTTTTTAGGTGGACCCTTCCAATATAAGCCCCTTCGTTTATAAGCCCTCCTAAATCCCCTTACGAAGATGTATAAGCCCAGAGTCTAATAGCGGCAGTTTTTAGTAAATAAGTAAACGAGCGAACGGACGAATAAACAAACATATAGAGGATATTACACGGTGGCGTGAAGATATGAATTTTATTTTCGAGTGGCAAAAATAATATTTTACGAACGAGCGCAGCGAGTGAGTAAAATACTGTTTTTGCCATGAGAAAATAAAATTCATATCTTCAAGCCTCCGTGTAATGTTCTTTTTATTATATAGACAAAAAGACATCGATAAAATAATAGAGGGAAATGACCGAAATTACGTCATCGATAAACTCACGTGTGAGATTATGGAAAATAAACCACTCGGGTCCCGGATGTAGTTTTTATGAATTTTACGAGTGGTATATTTTCCAGTAAAACACCCGTGTCTATATAATAAAAGTAAATAATTAATGAATTAAATAAAATTAATTAATACTTCTGTTAATGCTGGAATTTGCACCGAGGGGATCAAATGAAATGTCTGAGGAAAGTAGGCCATTTAACTGTATTTCATTATTCAAGTAGTTTGCGTCTCGAAGAGAATACGACATTACTAACAGTAGTGTAAATTCTCATTTGAAACTAATGATTACTTAATATTTGTTTGTTGTCACAGGGGTATTAATTTTATTTTGAGTGCACTGGTGTTTAACATCTTTCCTACAATTTTTGAGGTGTTACTTGTCTCTGGAATCCTGGTAAGTCTTTACAACTGTCTTTCTCTTGGCCACTATTCATGTTACGTCTGTGTTCTGCGTACTCTTTATAACATTAGGGACCTTAAGATCCAACATCGGCAACGAGAACTTCAAAAAAGCCGTCGTCGTTGTTTAAGCTTCCTAACAGGGACTTTAAGATCCAACGACGCGGACGGCGACGAGAACGTCAAAAAACAATAGGTTTTATATTAAGAAAAACAACAACTTTGCACGTGCATCACGCTTTTTTGTACATTTCTTTGCCCGTTTTTGCACGAACTGAACTTAGATATGGTCCCTCGGAATTTAACTCCAGGGGGTTCGCCTACGTTTGGCAAAGTAAGTGGGTAGGGATAATTGAAAGAACGCAAATTCACTTTGTAAGTGACGTTTTTGTTGCCGTCGCGTCGTTGGATCTTAAAGTCCCTAATATCGATCAATCAAGAACGCCAAGTATTTAGTCTTCTAGCTTTCCACATGGCCTACCAGTTGATAGCCTGTTCCATGCGTTCAGATTCTGATTATAAGGACGGCGCAAAAAGATGTAAGCAGAAAAACAGCGGAGGTTTTGTGTGGGGAAAGGGGGTCCAGGTGTTTCGATAGTGGAGTGCAGTGCAAGTCAGTGAGCTACCCCAGTCCTTGCTGTCTCTTTGCAACGTCCCCACAGTTTGAACGCCTGGAACAGGCTAACCAGTCAGGGACACTATACTTTTGATAAAATATGATCTTCTCTCGTAATTTTTATTGCTTTGAACTGGCTTTGAAAAAGTTTGTTAATGATTTTCAGACATACCGCTGTGGCAAAGAGTTTGCATTCCTTACACTGGCCTGTTTAGGAACGTACGCAGCGTTTACTCTGTCTATCACACAGTGGAGGTAAAACCTGTCGTCCATTTAGGCCCTGTTTCCATAGAGAAAAGTCGTTCCAGGGTCATTCACTTATCCTGGGCGAGCCAACGTTTCATACATTTCCTTACAAAACGTGTCGAACGGAGAAACAAACAGTTGTCTCTGCAAGAAGGGTGATCCGCCTAGCCGGGTCACCCTTGGTCACCCGTTCTTCGGTGGTGAGATCACCCTCTACCCCCCTCCCCCTCCCCCTCCCAAGCCTGGTAAATTCAGTCAAGGCGAGACCATCAGAGCATGCGCGGGCACTGTTGGCTCGGGCAAAAAGGTAATCTTCGCTAAAGCTGACTTGGCTGGGAGCGTGGCCCTCTTTTCTCCATATAAACGCAGTCTTAATGGTTAGCTTTACTCTTCCGTAAGTCCAATTCTATTGGCTATGATAGCTACATGTGTTTCTTATTAATGTACCTTTTACTGCAAGGAGCTTAAAAGTGTGACCGCCTTTAAGTAAGTCACATTCTTTCATGCAGACATTAACAGTGCTCTGATTCAATAACGTCACACTAAGGGAGTTAAAACAAAAGTTTTCAACTAGGTTTTGCAGACAGGAGCGTTCCATCAAGCGCCAAACAACAAAGTTTCGACACTTCTTCACGAAGTCCGCACGTCGGCGTCCTTGTTGCTTAAGCTCGCCTATTACCTCTGATAAAACCGCTTGCTTAGTTTTGTAACAATTAGTTTTGCAGTTCCAAAATTCGAATTTTAATCGAGTAACAGATGCCGAGGTGTGGCTTGACTCCCATGAGGTACTCCCTTAAATAAGCGAGAAAATATGTACGTCGCTTAATGGTGTGTGCTTTTTGACCTCCTATGACTCTTGAAACTTGGTTTGGATTCTTTTTCCATGTAGTAGGGTAAGGTTTTGTGCTTTTTGCAACCAGAGTCTGGATTTGGGTATATCTTTAACCAGTCGACGACTCTTGAGACTGAAACTAGAAAAGAGAAAATCACGTCACATTTTAGTCTAGTGTCAGGAAGCGTGCGACATACCCCTCACTTAATTTCCAGGAGTAACCCATCCCCGCGGTGCTATAGACAAACTGTCTTCTATAAAGCCCCATTTAAAAGAGCTTTTCGAGTTTTCCTGGAAACGTCTTTTCATTTCCTCGGGCAGGTCTTCCTTATCAAGAGTAAAAATAAGCGTTTAAAGGAAATGTGCCTGTGTTCGTGGGACTTACATGTAGCGCGTTCTTCAAGAAAAAAATCAAGTTTCGAATCTGACTAATTCGCTTTGTGTTACGTTACGCAGTTGATAAAACGATACTGTTCAGAAAGTAAATTAACTTGACTAGTAATGTTTCAGAAGCATGTCATCGACGTGGATGACATATGAGCAGTAAGAAATGAAAGCGCGAAATAGGCCCGTTTACAGTTAGTCAGTCACGTGGCACAAATCCGAGGGAAGCAAGTGATGCTCTGCTGGGACAAGAGAAACAAAGCGCTCACATTATTCAAAATGATAATTCCTTTGCCCGTCTTTCCCCAGTCCATCCGTGGCTCATTCACTTGCTCTCCAGCATAGCGGTTATGTACCACGTGAATGACTAGCAGTAAAGGGCCTATTGTATTTATTTTTTCGCGGTCCTCGATCCGATCATCTTAGATTTCTTATTTATGTGAACCTTTTGTAAACTTATTTTTGGCAATCTTCATCAGGACCAAGTTCCGAGTACAGATGAACAAAGCTGACAACGAAGCAGGATCTCAAGCCATCGACTCACTCATAAACTACGAGACAGTCAAGGTACCCGCAAATATTGGATGATAAGGGAAAGTTCATTTAATATGACAAGGGGGGGGATGAAGATATTGAGGGGGGGCTCCGAAAATTTTTAGACACCCGAAGGGGGGGCTCTGAAAAAATTGTTGCGCTAGGAGGGGGGCTCCGAAAATTTGTATACTTCAAAACCAACACATGACATCATCATACAGATCGGATGGTTTTCAACTCAACAATTTAATGACCTGTGCAACTCAGCTATATCACGTGGTTTACAGATATAACAAATGTAGTCTCAGTAATTATTACACTCTTGTTCATCCCAAAAATGCTTTAGAAAATTGTATCACAACTGTATCTCAAGTTTGTCATAGTATAAATCATTGAAGACAATAACGGAAATATATTTAATACAGTCTAGCGATCTTTTTTCAGGGGAGCAAAGGAATTGAAGGAGGAGGGAGGGAGGGGGCGCTGAAATTTTTTCGACTACCAAGGAGGGGGCTCCTAAAAAATTGAACCGCTAGCGAGGGGGGCTGCTAAAATTTCAAGCTTCGAGTTTCAATATCTTCATCCCCCTTGTCATATTAAATGAACTTTCCCTAATCACAACGAGTTGTACTTGCGGTAGCAGTTTAATGATAATCCAATAGTTGCAAACATAGGATGATAATTTATAAATTACAACGAGTTGTCCTTGCGTTAACTGTTGAATGATAATCCAGAAGTTTCAAATATTGGATGATAATCACAAGGGTACCTGCAAATATTGAATGAAAATCACAACGAGTTGTCGTAGCGTCAACTGTTAGATGAGAATCCAAAAAAATAGCTGCAAATCTTGGATGATAATCACAAATATTGGATGATACTTGCAACGAGTAGTTCTTTTAGTCTATTAAGAAACGAGTCTCCGTAAATTGATTTCTAAGGTGACAAACAATGCTTTTAATTTGGATCCGGCGGAAACCTGGCCAGCTACGGCATGTTTTGTTGTTGTTGTTGTTGTTTTTGTTTGTTTGTTTATTTGTTTTGTTTTTGTTTTGTTTTTTTTTCCACGCGTAGACCACTTGCCAGACTCACTTTACTCATAAAAGTGGCTAAAAAAACTGGAAATGGATTCGATCTAATCTAAACGGGATTGTGGATTGTTGGATTCACAATCTGTTTTGGAATTTTAGTAAAGGAACTCAAAATCCGTTAAAACATTCAAGAACTCGGATTTTAAACAACCTCCCTTCCCCCAGTAAAGATAGTAGTAATTGTTACGCTTCAACCAATCTTCGAATTCAACTTTAAACGAGTAACTACTATATATGTGGGAAAATTTGGGCGCTTTGTTTCTGAGTGACAATATACTTGTACTCTTTTCCTCCTTTTCAGTATTTTAATAATGAAGAATACGAGGCTTCGAGATACGACAAGCTTCTTTCAGATTACGAGAAGGCTTCTCTCAAAACTACTACAAGTTTAGCTCTTCTCAGCTGGGGTCAAAACTTCATCTTTAGTGCTTCATTGAGCGCTATCATGATCCTGGCTGGCAGACAGATACTTCAAGGTATTTAACTTGATTAAATTTAAGGAGTGGTAAATTTCGTCCCGGAATTGCGTTTACCATTTGTACAAATCAGTTCCATTTACCGAAAAACGGCCGCGAAGGCGTGAAACTGGTATCACATATAGCTTTTGAGAAATGAATCACGAATTTCCATTTGGAGTATTCTGTCCGAAAAAGTAGGACTACCTTTTTAGATGTTCCGTTGCTCCCGTAAATTTTCCGCTGGAACCACCCAAAAAGTCGTGTTGCATTTACTTTCGATTTTGCAGAAACGTTTTGTAAGTGGTACACGATTTTCCTCTGCCAAGCTTTGTGATTGGCTGAAACCTCTCACTCAACTATACCAACCAATCAAAATTGAAAACAAAACAAATCATGACTTACTTAGTGTACACTTTTTTCCCGCGCTTTGTACCGGCTACACGTTTTTGCTTTGAAATCTGATTAGTTCGTTTGATTTTCTCTATCAGTAGGGACTGGTCTGAGTTTTTACCTCAGCAAATGCAAACTGTACTGTAACAAATTATTGGGGGCACGCGACGACAGTTTTCGGTAAAATATCTGTTCGAAGAGGAAATAGTAACCAATTTTTTATATATAGCTCGAAAGGCTACGGTGTCAAGGTGACTGTTCCATTCAATCATTCAACGCTTGAGAGGTTGTTCTATTAACTACCTCACGGTCCTTTAAACACAAATGTCCACTGCCTAGTTTTGGCTGTTATTCGTAAGAAACAGTCTGCTACACAGCCGTTTTTAGTGTCGTCACGCAACGCGGTTTCGAAAACTGTAATGAAATAAAGTATCACAGGATTTGTCGTTCAACAGATAAGAATTTCACAGCGCCGCTTAGAATTCATTTCTAGAGCCTTAATTGAACTCTAGATAGCTTAAAAGAAGATTTTTAAACAATTCAGAAAAGTGTTTGTCGATTGCAATGAATTGTTTTTGTTTTCTTAAGCGAATCATTAAGTATCTTATTTCTTGTGGTTTTCCAGGTACTATGACCGTTGGAGACCTAGTGATGGTAAATGGCCTCCTATTTCAGCTTTCGGTGCCACTAAACTTTCTTGGATCTGTATACCGTGATATCAGACAGTCGCTCGTGGATATGCAAACACTGTTCGATCTTCATAAGGTTCCCTCTTCCATCAAGGTGAGTCGACCTTTGAAAATAATTAATTGATAAATCTAATTCCTCTTCTAATTTTCAGGTGATTAAAGGTGGTTTTCTCCTTTCTAGAGACACTTCCGAACGTCTTCTGTTAATGCGTTGAATAAAATACAGCGTTTTCACTCACCTGTCCAGCAGCTATGCATGCAAATTTATTGGAACCAACGAAAGCGTTTACACTGAGAAAATCGCACAGGATTGGTTTGGGACACCAACTTGACCGCCGTCGAAACACAGAAAAAAAAAATTATAATTTGTGAATTGTAAGTTGTAATTGTTGGTGTTGTTGCTGAACTGTGTCCGTGCGTTCCAGATCGAATTGGAATTTGAAAGTGTTGGTTTTTGAGGAGAGGGGAAAACCGGGGTACCCGGAGAAAAACCTCTCGGAGCAAGGGAGAGAACCAACAACAAACTCGACCCACATATGGCGTCGATGCCAGGATTCGAACCCGGGCCACATTGGTGGGAGGCGAGTGCTCTCACCACTGCGCCACCCTTGCAGCCCAAAGGAGTATATATGTAAGATAACACGACGGCGATGTCGCTTAAAGGGAACCTCCACTTCAGCAAAAAGATAACTTTAAATCACAGGAAATAACTGTTACAGTCAAGTCAATCTAAAATATTTTTAAAGAAAGCGTTTGTATCCGAAAGAAATAACTTTTACATTCGCCTATTTTTGTTTTCAAATTTTGCGGGCGTCGCCATCTTGAATAATTGTGAAGTGTTACGGTTGCCCTATTGTTATTAAACAAAAGCTCTTTGTGTCAGAACAATAGAGCAACCGTAACTCGTCACAATTATTCAAGATGACGGCGTCCGCGAAATTTGAAAGTGAAAATAAGCGATTTTAAAATTCACTTTTCCTGATATAAACACTTTTTTTAAGGACAAATTTCGAACAAATTTGTTTATCAACATAATTTTATTCGATTTAAACTTATTCTGTAGTAAGAGTGGAGGTTCCCTTTAAAAAGTGAGTTCGCGTTTTTTCAATTTCCATCCCGTTTATTCCAACTCGCTTATTTTGTCAAATGCAAGCGGAATCTTCTGAAGGTGAATTCTTAAGAACCGTGTCCAAGTTCAGAAAGAGAAAGAAAATTTTGTCGTCTCTTATTCACGTCCTCCATAAAATGTGAAACTAGGCATTTTCACGTCGTAGTCGTGCAGTGGTAGCAAAGAAATGTGCAAAAAAGTGTGCTGCCCGTTCAGAGTTGTGGTTTTGCTAATTAAAACTATTGCTTTTTTGACGTTCTCGTTGTCGTCGCCTTCGTGAAATCTTAAACTGCCTCTTAAATTAATTTAATGTGGCCGCCCTTATGTCATGCGACAATGATCTTTTGACGCTACCTTAATACATACATGAATGGACTGCAGTATTTTGTTTTTCTTTTTTTTGCAGGTGAAGCCGGGTGCTTTTCCTCTTGTCCTAAAACCTGGTGATGACAGGGCGCATGTTATATTTGATAATGTGGTGTTCAGCTATCTTCCTGGCCAAAACATACTAAATGGACTTACTTTCACTGTTCCTGCGGGAAAGAAGATCGCTATTGTGGGGGGTAGCGGCTCTGGGTAAGTTTTCCGCACGATTTTATGATGGATATAATTTTGAGAGTATAGGGATGAGTCTGGTGCAAGGCCCAGTCAGGTCAGCAGCTGTGTAAATTTCTTGGGAAAAACTAAAGTTTTTTTACATGAAAAAAGACTTCAATCCCACAGGATTTTTTTGGTACACTACCAAACATGGCCGCCGTTTCATCGTTTTTTTTTTACACCAATAATAAGGCCGTCGAAAAGTCATGTGAAAACGATCCGTAAGACTGTATTTGAATGGTAACCCTAACAGCGTAACGTGAAAGTACTACTCGACAGCTAACGTGAACCACAAAGGCGACAACAATGAGAACAGTGAAAAGCAGTCAGTGTAAGCCGTTTTCAAAGCGTAGACTTTCTCTCCTGTTTAACCTACCGTCCACTCATATCCGTTGAGAGCGGTCACCGAAAACGCATCTTTTTCGTGTGGACGGACAAAAATAGCCTCCCACGCAGGCGTTTTTAAAAACGCCTGCGTGGGAGGCTAGGACAAAAACGGAGGTTTTCGAATACGATGATGTCATACATCAAAAGCGCATGCCCCGTAAAACATGCAATCGCATTTCCATCGTTTTTTTAGCGTTTTTTGTGTTGACGTCAGTTTTGTTGTAGCCTGGGACCATGCTCCGCGGTGAGGAAATGGAGAGATTAAGATACACGTTTACGCCAAACAGCAAACGTGAATTTTTACCACGTGACCGAGTTTTCCCCTTAGTTGTCGTTTACTGTTTATTACTTCTACTCAAAAATAAATAGTTTCACGCCCGTTTTATCCATAAGAACTGTTCTGGACAGTTTTTGTCTGCTTATTTTCTATTCTGAGAAATTCTCAACTTGAATCTGACGTTTGCCGTAAACGTGACTCTTGATCTCCGAAAAGCGACGTGAAAAGGCAAAAAAAGGGAAAGGGTGACCACCCTTTCCCTCCCCAGACTTCCGCTTCGCTCGCGGATTTTTCTTTTTCACTTTTTTCTCCACTGCGGAGCCTGTTCCCAGGCTATTTTCGTTTACGCTGTTGTTTTTAGTTAGTCATTCAAAGATGCGGCTCTTTCTGTTCCCTTATAGAAAATCCACCGTTGTCCGGTTGCTGTTCCGATTTTATGATCCTGCCGACGGTCGTATCCTTGTGGCTGGCCACGACATTCAAGATCTCACCATCGAGTCCTTGCGGAAAGCCATTGGCGTTGTACCGCAGGTAAATCCTTGTAGGTTTATTTCTTCAGTTCTGCTCAGCAGATGAGTATACCGTAAACTGCCCCTTAAAAGCTTCCTTACATTATAAGCCCCCCCCCGGAAATAAGCCTCTCCAAAATGTGTTGAAATGAAATCGATTTATTAGAGAACTTTAGATTCTAAGACGACTACGACTACGACTACGACTACGACTACGAGATTTTCTCAATAGGAAGTAGTGTAAGCGCGTGAGCCAGCGTCATTTTGGCGGCAAAACGTGGTAGCCCTTCGACATTCTACTACGAGTTTTCGCGCGAATGTCGTGGTGGCGAAAACAAGATATCAAATGTTAGAAGTTTTATCATTTTGCAATCGGGAGAGCGCGTAACCTCCTTCACTAAAGATAACAATGCTAACTTTTCTCATAGTGAAGAATGGTAAAATGAAGCTTTCCGGGAAGTCTATATTTTGAGAAGACGCGAAAAAACTTGAAGTCAAATGTCGTACTCGTAGTCGTTCTTGTTCTCGAATCTAAAGGTCTATTATGACGTTTTGAAGCTTTAAAAAAACTGATAAATGCAAAACGCATAAATAATAAGATAATGAAAAATGATATAAAGCAAATTCCAAGACGTAGTCGAACCCACGAGATAACAGGCGCCATACAGCCAATTAGAAACTCTAGTCGATCTACAGTTATTTTAGATTTAGTGAGATTAATAGTAAGCTACAACCGCAGGTCATTGATGTTGATTACCTGAGCAGAAGATCTCGTTTCAGTTTGCTTTTAATGCGCGAGTTGTTCTTTGAAATCAGCAAACATTGTCAGTCGAAAAGCGCTGTGTTGTAATGTAATAATTACTCTCATGAATGACTTCTACTGCACAGGACACAGTGCTTTTTCACAATAATGTCTTCTACAACATCAATTACGGCCGCATTGACGCCACACCCGAACAAGTTTACGAAGCTGCCAAGATGGCGGAGATTCATGAGGCGGTGCTGCGCATGCCCAAAGGATATGAGACTCAGGTTGGAGAGAGAGGACTAAAGCTGTCTGGCGGCGAGAAGCAGAGAATAGCCATCGCTAGAGCCATCTTGAAAAACCCACCCATTCTGATGTATGATGAAGCCACTTCGTCGCTGGATTCAATAACAGAAATGGTAAGTCTAAATGATCTGGGGGGAAGGAACATCCCACCCAACATGTGAACAGTTGTTCGTATATCCAGGATACGAGGGCGTAGTTACCCAATAACGTGCGTAACTGATAAAATGTCGAAGATAGAACACCAACAAACAAGTAAGAAAAACGTGAGAGCGATCTGGGAGAAGGCGCAGGATTCATTCGGAAACCGCGTTTGGTTATCTTCTTTGTAGTCAGTTTATAGTTACAACGAGTTTAGAAGTTATTAGTGTGACAGGTTTATACTAAAGCCTGATCTTATTACAGCACAGTATTGCGGGAAGCAGTAAGTAAAGACTGTAAAGATCTATAAGCAAATAAACAAGAAATAATCTCAGGAATCCCGAAACTTTTTTCTACCCTGTTACATTGCAGAACATCTTAAACAGTCTGAAAAGTGTCACTAAAGGCAGAACTTCCATTTTTATTGCTCACCGTTTGTCGACTGTGGTGGACGCCGATGAAATTCTGGTGCTTGAAGAAGGTCGATTGCGGGAACGAGGCTCTCATTATTCACTTATCACTGACACAAACAGTTTATACGCTCACTTGTGGCATAAACAACACGAGGCACATAACATGGAGGTACACAGAACTAACATCAGTGGTGGTACCTCCGCGTCAGGCCTATAAATGGAAGTCACGCTAATAAGGAAACGAGGTGTGCTCGGTGTTTGTCCCAGAGATAGCAATGCGCTCGTCAGGCGCCAACAACTCCACATTCGCTGATTTTGATAGGTACCTTTTCGGAGTGATTATTAAATTGTGTGTCTGTACGTGCTGTGGACACGAACACAACAAATGTCAAGCTTGGGACGGAATATTTGCGACACTGTCGCTGTCAAAATGTCTCAGGCGTTGCTGTTTTATGAAGTGGAATTTCATTCACAATTAAGTGGAGACACCGAGAAAGAAGAATCAAGTAGTTAGTTAATGTACCATAAATCCTCTATTAAGCCCCCTCTTTTCAATAAGCTCCCCCCCCCTTTCAGGCGAAGAAAGTTAAGCACCCCCTTCTCTCTTAAGCGCCCCTCTTCTCCCCCCTTATTCTTAAATGATAGGCTGTATTAATAAATCACGATTGTAACTTCAGATGGAATCATCCGGTACGATTTATTCACATGCTGGAAGTTGGGATTTGTTTTTTATCTTCGGCTACCTGATCTCCAACTTCGTGTGCCTTTTTTTGCTTTACGTGCTAGTATTTACGGAGAATTCAGTTGATACCATCACCTTCGCTCAATTAAATATGCCCTCTCTCTCTGTTAAGACCCCCCCCCCCCCCCCCCTTAAATGTGCTTGAAATAAATAAGCCCAACGGGGGGGCTAAATAGAGGATTTGCTGTGGTAAGTTCTTTTTTCTTTTCTCAAATAAATAATTTCATTATTTGCTTAGCCCTTGTGGCGACGGCGACGACAAAGAGAGCTAGCATCACAAAAGCTTTGAACTTGCGTCTCACGACAAGGCGCGAAGTTTTAGAGAGGATGTATATACATGCAAAAAGACGAAATTTCCTTTTTCTTTCTGAACTTGGTCGCAGTCCCTTAGAGTTCGCCTCCCGTAAAGATCGCCCTTATTTAACACCTTGAGCGACTTGGAATAATTACGATACAGTGGAAGCTTTCCTAATAGACACTCTTGTGAGTGGACAGCTCTACTTACGGCCACCTTCAAAAAAACCCGTTTTTTTCTACTCCCATACAAACTCTATATGTTTACGGACACCTTTTTCGCGTCCCGAGGATGTCTGAGCACGAGAGCTTCCACTTTATGAAATTTAAAAGAACCAGAATTCGCACAGACGTTTAATTTTTCTTTTCGTTCTTTTCGATAATCGGCGAGCGCGCGAGAGCTACCCCCTTGCGCGGCTGGCGGTCAATAAATCCCCAGCGCTCGACGGACTTTAAAGAGAAAATAGAGGGTCTGTGAACAGGCTACTTTACCAGTAACGTTTGCTCTCGTTGCTGTCGCCACATTGGTTACCATAACTCCCCTTGGTTTGATAGACTGCGTTAAAAAGTCCATATGTAACCTTTTAATTCAGTTTCTGAGACCGGTTTTAGTCACTGTTAGTCACTGTATGTTGGTGAAGTATATAACTTTAAACAGTATTTATAACAGCCTAAGCTCTGTCAGTGCTTGCTTTTTTTGAAATTGTCTCGAGAAACTGTTGCCAATTTGACTATCGGTCCGTTTTTGAAAAAACCTCCTCAGGAATTGGCGTCTTGAAGCGTGTGTGGACCTTTTATCAACATTCAGCTACAAAAATTTAGCACGGTCGCCTTACTTGAACTTTGATTTAAGGTGTTTCGATACAGTTTTTCAGAGGCCATAGCGATATTTTTCAATCGCCTTAAAAGTGTTTTTTTCCTTGTACGATCGCTATAAAATTTTCACCAGTAATTACCTATGGAATGAAATTTGTAAAAATGTAGTTTTAAGCAAAATCGAAATTACTATGACAACAATAAACAAAAAACTTTGAAACTGGTAAAAGCCGGATTTGGTGTGATCTAGACCAGCTAGTGAAAATCCAACACTAGAAACTTAAAGTTTGGTGTTTAGCAAACGATCTCCGTAAAAAGTAAAAAATTCTGTATGTTTGAGTTCGACCAAAACGAAAATATATTTCAAACCTTAAATTTTCAATAGCCGTGATAGATTATTTAATAAAAACGTTATGAATGACTCAAATTATTCTTAAGTAGCGTCAGAATGCTGTTTAATATCATATTTTGGTGCCAGGAAATTTAGGTGTATTTTCGTTCTTGCGATCTTGAAAGCTAACCTGTTTTCTCACTACCGTATAAGTGCAACTTCATTCGAAATTTGGACCTTTAGCTCGTTTTTGTATATCTCTGAAACTACTCGAACGATTTTTTTTTTAAATCTCTTCACATAATCTTCATAATTTATATAATACTGTCTGAAACTTTCATGAAGATTGATTCACTGCAACACCTTGAAATTTCAAGACAAACCTATCCTACTTACCGGTCAAAAATCTGCGTTCCAACATTCACTGTTTTGACGTTATGGAAATTTTTCCAAAATAATGCGCACTATACATACCTCCATGACTAGTACATTTTAGTTTGAATTTATCGCATCTTTTGAAGGTAAAACATTGACAATACTCACACTGAAATGAACTAGTCGTGGATATCTGTATTGTCCGCATTAATTTGGAAAAATTAGCATAACGTCAAAACAGTGAATGTTGTATGGCTCTTGGCAAAACTAATTTCCCTTTTTGCCAGAAATAACGGATATATGATAGATTAACCCTGAACAAGTTAATTTCCACACTGATCCGAGGTTTATTAATAATGATTTGTTTGACATTCCTATACATTGCCTTTTTTCACATTTTTTTGAAAGTGCCCATGTTGAGTACACGTTTTAGCCATCCGAAAGTAACGACTCCCCAAAAGTAGCGAGCCTCCGAAAGTAGCGATAGCGGAAGGGTGCTAAATCCAAAAGCAACGAGGGTCGTTACTTTCGGAACTTTACGTAGTAGAATACTTAAAGCGCTATTATGCATTAATTCCATTAGGTGGTTTCAAACTGCAGGAATTTTCAAGTGCACTTGAATTACAATTGAAGTGCACTTATGTGTGAACGGAGGGGGGCGTAAGGGTTTGCGTTGACGCGGTTTTGCTCGAATTTTGGTGCGGTTTTGCAGAAATTTTCATTTTAAGTTGCGGTATCGCGGTTATACAAAACCAAGCGGTTTACGGTATTTAGAAATTTTCGGGTAATTTCAGTGCGGTTTGCTGTTTTCTTGTGTTGTTCTGTTCGGTGTTTTTACGTATTTCTGTGCGGCTTTGGGCTATTCGTACCCCCCTTAAGCCCCCATCTGAACCGGTCCTTTTTTTTTTTTTTTTTTTTTAATCCCGCTGGAATAATGTTTAAGACGGAACCCATCAGGAAATTGAGTAATTTCATTTTTTATTGGACAAAAACCTTGTACCCTAGTAATTTAAACAAAATCACATATTTTTTGCATTTTTCAAGGGCTATAGATATAAGTGGTTATCTGTAATAACACCAAAGACTATTTCTCATGGGAGCCCGTGAAAATAAATGTCAAATTTTGCAAGAATGTGAAAACACAGGTAAAATTCTGAAACTTTCGTGTGTACGGATGTCATTTTGTGAAATTTGACATTTGTTTTCTCGGGCTCTCATAAGAAATTTTCTTTGGTGTTATTACAGTTAACTAATTACATCTACAGCCCTTGAAAAAATGTAAAAAAAATGCAATATGGTTTAAATTATTCTGGGCAAAGTTTTTGTCCGCTGAAGATTACAGTTACTCAATTTCCTGATCGATTCCGTCTTAATACTTTTACCACACCCTGCTAATATTCTCTAGCCAGCGACGTTTGTCAGATTTTTGCGAGAATGATACCAATAGTTGTTACTAATATACAAATGTCTCAAGTGGTGTTTTTTTAAAAGGTTGTTTTGTTAATCGGGTGTTCTTTATATTATTTATTTGTACTTACACAACGCACATATGTAGAGGATTGTGAAAAAAGAAGTTACAGGAATCCGCATGCATCGATCGAGCACTAGCAAACAACGTGGATCGACCACACGGACCAGTTTACTTGGGCAAGAGAGACTGTTTCCTTCGACTCGCATAATTTTCCATCGTTTTTAGCTATTTAACAGCCCCGAAGAACTACTTTTAATCTCTAAGTCAGTTGTTACCAGGTTATGTTACTGTACTTTAAAAATCAAATCGCAATATTCAAGGGCCGTTGGTAGGTTACAAAAAATTAATTATGCTTGGTACATGTCCTTTTCTCAGCAAAGAAACCAAATATATATTTATTACAATTTTACAAGTCAGACAAAACGCATCCCCGGAAATCTTTCTTAGGAAAGCGCGCTTTGTTGTTCTAGAAGGTAAGTTTAATCTGAAAATTAAGTTAAGTTGGGTTTTGGATAAACACTTTGATTCAAAGGCATGGAAATAATTACAGACAACTAGCCGCGCAAGCAAGAATGTAACACCGAACCTTTCGTTAGTTTTCACCACAAGAAAAATATGGCACCTTTTCTCTTTCTTTCTTTTATATTTAGGTCGAAAAAGTTTGAGGTTACTGTTCGCATCCGCTTTGCTGAAGTCAGAGCTTATATTTCTTTTTCATACACTCCAAAAGAACTCAGTTATTACAAGTTGTAACCATTTCAGTTCAATTTGCCTTACAATGGCAATTTCAGTGTATACAGAAAGTTATCTACAAAGACCACTTTCTCTCTCGAGTTCACAAGTTTAAAAGAAGACAATACTGTTTTTGAAAAGGCGGCGAAGAAATATAGCCATTTGTATGTACATCCAATAGTGTAGAGATTTTTTTTTGGCTATTTGCATTTCATCAGTTTTGTTGCTCGATCGATCGATCTTGTTTCCTTTCGTCTTAGTTTCATTTTTCGCCGTTTTATACGTGCCAGACCTGTGAAAGGCATGACTGGCTGTCATAGCCTTCCAGCATTACTTATTTTATGCATTTCCACGAGAGGGCGTTTAACTTGAAAAAAAAAATTGAGTTTTTCATTCGATGGGGAAGTGAAGCACCGAAATTTTTGCTTATGTCAACTGAGTTGGCAATTAAAAGTTTCTGAATTTACTATTAATTAAATTAGAAGCTATGGGGAACTTCTTGAAATGATGTAAGGGAAAATTCCGCTACCGTCCATGTTATTGTCTAAAAACGCTTCGCGAATTCAAGAATTTGTTAATCAAACAAGAACGCTCTTAGTACCGGTGAGTCTCGCTTGCTTGGAGATAACTTTTATAGTCTGCTGGTGCTGTTAGCTACTTTTTCGTTGTCATAGTGTGAATACTCAAAACTTAAAATTTGGAAGGAGAAACAGGCCGGACATCTTAGCTTCACCCCGGTGTGAAGCCTTTGAAAATCTTCTGCAAATTGATATTGCTCCAGTGAGGAGAACTCTTTCAGGGATTTACATTCCGTGGAACGGATGTAACAATCATTTTTATCGGTATAAATATATATAGCTTCTATGTAGCGGACAAGATACGGCTTGGTACAGTTTTTGTCCAACACAAGAAAAATGTGTAAGTTTAGCAGAACCTTATACAACAGACAGTTAATTCAGTTCGCGCGTATTCCTGTTGAATTTGTTGTTCGTTTTATAAGATATCAAAATTGCGAGAAAGTACATTTTCCATGGCTACTTAGCATCTGCTTTCAATATCTTCATACAGTTGATGTTTACTCGATCTCAGAGTTCAATGTTTAGAGTTGTACACAGCGTGCATTTTACCACAGTATCACCAGGATAAAGCGTTTCATTTTCCAGGAAAATTTAAAGCACTGACTCAGTCAGACTCGGAGTAGTTTACTTAAATTTTGTGCTCAGCACAGCGAGCGGGGTTATGTTTTGTGAAATTTATCTTCAGTCTGCGGCCCACATCACCACGATTCACGATTTTATTTATTTACTTTATTTTCAAGATTTTTTAACCGATCCTTAATCCCCGTTCCCCGATTCTTGATCCCCGATCCTCCATCCTCGATCCTCGCTCCTGATTTTCCAGTAAACCTCGAAGTTTTGCTCATTAAGATTGTTCTTTTTTCGACCACTGAAGTAACCAATTGTTCCAAAGTACTCAATGCTTTCAGGTGATAGAATTCGTGGACCGACTACGATCGATATGGGATTTCTATTCTATGGACATGAAGTGCTGCAAGTAGAGTGCATGATAGTCAAATACAAAGCTACCCGTATAAACACATTCGTGAGACATACGTAACGTCAGACGCGTAGTTGAAGTTTCTTCCAGTAGCACTCGAATGTTAAGTCATTGATATCTCAAGTATTTATATAGTGCAGCGCGACTTCACATCTTAACAACTGCGAAAATCTATCAATTGAACACATACAACACATAAGTGAATCTATTTAACCGTAGGGTTCCAGTGATTGCGACAATATTCTGAGAAAGGTAACGCCACAATACACCACAATAATATTTTTTCATCCTACTCGGGGTATTTACTTTTTAATACACGTGCATAATGAATAAATCAAGGGCCTCGATTCGGGGAAAATTACATCAGCGAAAACGTGTTCAACTTACATGCGTCATTTCAGTCATCGAAAACAAACCGCATGCACATCATGCACAAGGCTCATTTGCATACAAAGAAAGGCGTCATGATTTTTATCCCCAGTTTGCACGGTCTCCGCTAGGAACGCCTGGGAGCATGCCCCCCTTTTCGCGACGGATAGACGAAAACCAAAGGCTTGCATTTCGAACGAACGCGGGCATCAATCAACGAGATGCCCGTTCCTATTCTTTGTTTTGAGATTATTTAGATTAGTTACAAAATATTTCACAATCGTACGCTTCAGTGTGATTAGAATATAAATATATTTTGAAACGTTTTGTTAGTTTCAGAAGAGTATGTATATTAAGCTGTGGGCAAACGGATGCAACAAAGTTGTTCAACAACTCCCAACATTGTCATTGGGAGTTGTTGCGTCCGTTTGTGCGTAGCTAAAAGTTTGACGGGTTTCAAACTTTGCGCAACAACACGCAACAACATGCAACAGGGTGTACAAACGGACGCAACATGTAACATCCAACAAAGTTGGGAGTTGTTGGCCAACGATATTAGGGACTTTAAGATAGGTCACTACGGTCGCCTGGGACGGTTAGATAGATGTCACGTCACGCAAAAAACGCGTGACCTTTTACCGTCGTCCTTCTGGGATGGTATGTTTTCGCCGGGTTTCCCGTCGTGAAGACAACGGTGAAACCGATAAGAGTTCATGCATACTTATTGTCACTTTTCTTCTAAAACTGAGTAGCCACTGGGTTAAATACGCGTTGGCTTGTGTTTACATTGATTTACCTATCGGTGAAATGAAAAAAAAAGCGAAAATGTCTGAGTTCATTCATAACTTAGCTCGCGGCCGCACGGCGACTGCTTGTTTTCTACCCAGCGTCGTCCGCCATGGCAGAGGAAAATTGCCGAAAAGAAAGGTAAGGCCCAGTTAAAACGTTGGTCTTTTCATCTACCGAACTTAATACCTATTTAGGTCGACCCAGATGGTTCGAGGTTGACTCAGGCGTCGAACTTAAAGTGTAGTCGAACTCGATTCATTTTCACGTTGCTTTAAACAAGGGAAAATAAATTTTAGTAATTTGTGCTTTAGTTTCGGCACATGAGAAGTTCGACGTTTCAACTGGGCCTAACAGTGATGATTGTAGCCGTCTTTTTATAACTTAAGACTGTATTTTTTATCAAGAAAAGATTTCTTTAACTCAAAAGGTGTTGGCTTAGGAAAGGAAAGTTCAAATAAAAACATCGACTACAGTTTTGAAAACTAGCTAGCTAGCGTTAATTTGTACCCTTATTCTTCTGATTGGTATTCTTCGTATAAAATAAGAAACTCTTCTTCAGTAATTGAACGTAATTGAGCCTTCTGCGAAAGAAATGACAAGCGAGTTTCGCACATGACTTCACCGTCCTCTGCTTTGTTGTCCGACCTTAAATTCAAAATTTTCGCGCCTTCTTACCGTCATGGCCCCAGGCCGCCTGTATACGCATCCAACCGTCCCAGCCTACCGTAGTGACCTATCTTAAAGTCCCTATTGCGTCCGCTTGCACGGGGCTTTAGTTTGCATAATACTGCAGAAGTATTTAAGGCGTGCTTGTAAGGTGTCTTAAGGGGCTAGTACACTATTTAAGGTTTGATAAGCGATAAAAGAGCCATTTGAGGCATCTTTTTTAACCCTAATTTTTTTAAATTTTATTTACTGTTGTAATTTTCCATGAGTTTGTAAAACTGTAACGCTGTTTTTTGTAACGCTCTACGCTAGCTTCATCAACAAACGAAATGCCCGCTTTTGTTACCCCTTTTTTATTATTATACTAAAATTACAGGTTGTTTTTTGGGAGTTTTTTTTTTGTTTGCTTGTAGTTCGCGAAAGCTGAACCGAGGTTTTTTGCCGTGTTCCCCTCGCACCCTTCCTTTAAGCTTACTCAACGCTGTACCTATCTACTCTACGAACCAAACAAACGAAAAAATAGACCCCAAGACGAAGAAGAAGAGTTTTAACATTTTTTAAATGAAAATGACTGATGGAAGATGAGTAGTGACATGGGTTGTTTGAACGCCTTGGTAAATTTCCAAAAATAAAAGCCTTAACAACATGTGCGATTCATTTTAAGTGACACGATTTCCCAGATGTAGTTGAGATATACACTGAGCAATGTTTGAGATACCAGTATCTGTTAACAAGTGTTAGAAGGCGCGAGTCACGAATTCAAAATCAAAGGTTTTGAAATGTGAGCTTACTTTCCACAGCGAAGGCAGGCTTCTGATTAAAAATAAGATTTAATTGTTAGATTCAGACTCAACTATTGCAAATAACGTTTCAGCGAAAAAAATACGTGAGAAACAACATGATGTTATGAGCATCAAAATTTCATTTAATTTTTGAGCCAAACCGCGGTAAGCATGATATGTGACACGTCCAATCATGATGATGATGAACCTGTGACTCGTATCTCATTGACATAAATGTTTCAGACTGTCAATCAATAAGGGGCTTTACCACCTTTGAATTTATCCTTCCGTAAGCCTAAATTAGGCGAATTTTCTGCGTGAAATGTCTTTGAAGACGACTTTTTAGTGCACTGTAAACCATTCTTCGCTGGAGCTTTTTTTTTTGCTATCATAAATACTATTGGGCGATGCAAAGTTGGAGTATAAACAAAAAAAAAACACGTTAATAGCGTGATTTATCAGCAATTCTTTTTTTGTCATGTTGGTGGAAATTTAAGCCGTCCCAGCAGTGCTTATAATCGAGATACTCCTAGCTTACAATGTACCTTCGACTCGTAGTGCTTATCATCGAGACACTCGTAGCTTACAATAAAATAAACAGCGAGTGTTGATGTTTCTGCAACGAACGTGAGCATGACAACCTCATTCCCAGAGTTCTCTCACAAAGAGGCGAGGGTAACTGCACGCCCAAAGTTGATCAAAGAACACTTCGGCAGCAACGAAGATGTGTTGTTTTCATATCGGGTGACTTCGGAGCAAGTCGACCCCGCTCTACAATCCTTTACAAATCTCAAGCCACAGCGAAAACTTAGTGAAATACTCTTCGGTTTACTAGTTTTTGAGAAATTAAATTCTCAGACTATTATTCCTCCTAGTTTCGGATGGACTAGTTTAATATGTCTCTTTCATATACAAAAACAACAGCAGCAACAACAATTGTATGCCCTAAGAATGATCCAGGAATGATATTTTCGTAACTTATCTTTGTAATACACTATTCCTTTCATAATAAGAGTCGTTGATGAGACGGCTTCCCCGGAGTTCTGAAAAAACGATTTATTACAACAATTATGATAGATTGAATATCCTAACCAGCTGCGTTAAGTCGAGGGCATCAGCTTGTAAATCTATTTTGTATCGCGAAAAAAATGAATATAAGTGATCCGAGACCCGCGCCCTGTAGAACAACCCGACAAAGACTTCAGAGACTTAAACGGTCTGAAAAAGTTCTATTAATAGATAAAACTTGCAATACTTTCTGAAAATATATAGTAACCAAGTTTGGAGTGATTATTCAAACCAAATTAGGCTTTAATGTACCAGCAACCATCTTTGCAACATTCCTCAATATCTAATTGCTAACATCTCAGCTAGAATGGCCTGGCCTAAACCCCTATCAGTTGGTTAAAGTCAATCTTTAGTAGTTAGATGGCTATCAGCTTGATATAATTCATTGCTCTTTTCTATAACGAACAGTTTGTAAACTAAACTATTACCATTACACAAGGTCCTTTAAAATTTCCTCTCTCATTTTGTGTTACCATTGCAGTCAACACAATGCGGCTTGGTCATTATTGGTTTATTGTTTGCCTAATTATCGCCTGGATCGTCTCCGAGGGCAATTCAGAAAAGAGCGAAGAAGACCTCGAACCCACCAAAGAAGCTTGCGAAGAAGGTAGCTTCGTGCTCAACTCATGTGAAGAGCAATGTGAATGTAAGAACGGGGAACTGGCCACCTGTTATCGTGTGAGAAAGAATTTTACCAAAATGACCATTGAGGACAGAAAACGTTATATCAACACTTATAAGCAGGCATCGGTCGATCCTCTGTTCAAGAAGGATTACGAAAAAATGGTCGCTCTCCACCTTAACGCTCCAAACAAACTTCTCCATCACACCCCTACGATCTTTTTCCCCTGGCATCGGTGGTTTTTGGTTGAGTTTGAAAACCTACTGCGCAAAATCGACTGTCGTGTGACAATACCCTACTGGGACTGGAGTCAAGTGGCTCATCATTGGTGGGAGGAGTCTAGTGACGAAGTCGTTTGGGCCTCCGGAGATCATGGTTTGGGAGGGAATGGCAACAAGGATAATGACTTCTGCGTGGAGACAGGACCTTTCAGAAAGGATCAATGGAGTGTCCTGGACATATCCGGAGGAGGGTGTTTAAAAAGGAACTTCACGAGACGCAGTTTCACTGGCGATAGTGAACACGTTAAAAAAACTTTATCTCTACCGCTGAAAGATTTTTTCCGATTTGAAAAAATTGTTCGTGACTACTATCACGCTCAACCCCACGACTGGGTCGGTGCTACAATGAGAAGCCCGCGCTCAGCTGGAAATTCCCCAGAAATGCCTCTTCACCATTCATTCTTGGACAAACTTTGGTATCAATGGCAGAAGAAAGGAGATGAATACATAAATATCTACTATCGAAGCGTTCCCTTCAAACTTCCTGGCTCAAAGTATCACGGCTGGGAATGGATGGATTATAGAAACCTCCCTGGCCAGGTGAATGTTATCTACGAAGAATGAGTATAAAACGTTTGAATAAACAGTAAATTATCCCTTAATTATAATGTAAGCTAGTCCAAGAGAAAAAGGCCAATTACTTTAAAAGATACTTTTAAATTTGTCAAAATCTCGATGTGCAATGCAAAGCTGGTTGAAAAAAATTGACCGATATACAAGAATTTGCGTCACTGTATTTCATCGAATTATTTGCTTAAGTAATCAGCTAATCATTTTAAAAGGCCTTTTTCAAAAATACCATTTTGCAAAATTTTGCATTGTTTTCAATTTCTCTTGCGACTTACAATCGCCCCAAGAGAAATTGAAAACAATAATTATGCACAATTTTGGAGGGACAACCAACAGTATCATGGTATTTTTGAAAAAAAGCCTATTTATCCTTTTAAGTCATCATTTCTTCGCGTTAAGTCTTTTAAGGAAGTTGTCTTGTACACAGCCATATCTCATGACAGGGTTGTAATTGATTATAATCATAATTACGGAGTGAAGAAGCAGTTACTTAATCCCGTCTTAATGATATTTAAAGTAAACGAGGTTTCAAGAGTCTTTCAAATCTTAGGATAGAAAATCGAAAACTTGTGTACGCTAATAAGCTAAGTGTTATCTTCAAATATGTTATAATAGTGCATATCTTATTTGGGACATTTTTTTTCTTTTCCGCATTGTTTTTCGTTTGGGTTAGTTTGCCATCTACATTATATACAGTTGAACCTCTCTACAACGACTACCTTAGGGACAAGAAATTGGCCGTTGTAAAGAGGTGGCCATTGTAGAGAGGTTTTAAACAAGAGCCATTGTATGGGTTTTTTGTCCGCCGGGACGAAAAAAAGGGGCCGTTGTAGAGAGATGGGCGTCAGCGGAGGTTCGACTATACCGTTCGTGTCCTTTTTTTCTTTTTCTTTCTTTTTTATTTCTCACGGTGTTTTTTGCTTTTTTGTTTGTTTGTTTCTGACTAGAGTAGCATCATCTTGTTTGCATTTTGTTTTATTCATTATTAGGGGATCATTTTTTATTCAACAAAGCGAACCGCTGTAGGCAGCCTGTAGACGAGGTTCACGAGGTTTTTGGACTAACTCATGATTGGCTGAAAAAGTGGTGCCAGATTTTTCAGCCAATCACTATGCGTAACAGTACACAAAGCAAAAGCACAACAAAACAACAAAGCAAACACTCCTTATAAAGCGCTTTCACATGACGTCACGGCGGCCATATAATGTTGGTGTTTCAAAACAATGAAACAGCGGCCATATTGGCGTTCCAAACGAATCCTGTGGGAGTTGGACTCTTTTCTTATGTAAAAGATTTCCTTTGTTCCCATAAATTTGCATAGATGCTGGCCACGTAAGTGAAAACGCTCCATTGTTAATTTGATAAATCATTATCTAAAAAGCATTCAGATAAAAGAAACTGAAAGTTTAAACTGGAATTTTGTGGCATCATTGGCTTATAAGCTTCGCTTTGAGCCACTTGTCGCAGCAAAACGTCTTTGCCCTGAATCTCTCTTCTTGCTTAATCCGCAAATGCACAAACTGCGATTTAAACTGTAATTATCATATCTATTGCTGCTCACTTGCATGAGAGTTGTTTATAGAAAGCTAAGTCTTATATAACATTTAATTAACAAATGGTTTAATTGCCTAGAATGGCTTAGCCTAAGAAAGAACGGACGGGGGCGCTCGAGGGAGACACGTGAGGGTAGAGGGACGCTTTCCCGTTTTTACTCGCTTTCTGAGAGTGCAGAAAATTCCTATTGGTTCAAAGAGCTACAAAGGAACGATTTGGCATCAAATACGCATTAGCAGAAGCGGCGGCAGACAAAAGATTTGTCAAATCGTTGAAATGAAGATCAGAGGAAACATTATTTGTTCAAAAAGAACTTCGCGGCTTGGATTGTCGATGGAATGTATACCATCAAAACCTGGACCGGATTGATGAAATGAAGCAATACAAGGGGCCTGGATTTGAAAACCTTTCGCTATTGTTATTATTTGCTCGAATAATCGGTTTCTGTCAAAATTTTTGACACATCACGCAGCGGCTGCCAGGTAATTGGATAGGGGTCGGGAAACGATTTTCATGGTTCTCCCGGGCAGGCGCTCCATCTCCCCTCGCGTGTCTCCCTCGCGCGTCCCGTTTTTTCTTTCGCCCATTACTTTCAAGCGCCCGCTGCAGGCTAAAAATAGCTGTGAATGGTAGTACAAATACCACTTGCCAGTTTAAAAATTGGACGTAAATGATTAACTATAGAGTCAACTTTTTTATTTCTGATTTCTTACTGACCCAAATTAGCTAAAAGGTCACATAAAGCAAAATATCATAGAATATTTAATTATTTTCTTACTCTTTTATTAGCTTCACTAACAATGATAACGAAAGGAAACAACTAGTAGAAGGAAAAATTTAAAAACTAAGGCTATGCCCTTCACACTATATCGACACGAAAAGCCATCTGGTTCTGGTAAAGTATGAACAGCAAATACCCCTCGACGGATAACACCCTCCGAGATCTCCATAATTCCGAGAACTGGAACAAGTCGTTAACACACATCGAACACCCTGCCGGAACGGTTGGCCGAGAGAGCTTGGTGAACTAGATCCGAGTCCTCGCTCCTGAATATTTACTTCCGTTTCAGCGGATTCCAGTTCGAGCTCCCATTTATTCACTTCCGTCACGGTCGGTTACGGTGAATACCTCTTTATACTTCACCAAAGTATGGCAACAGAAGCTATCTAAACTGTAACGCTCCACCATTCTTATGTGTGAACAGAAGCCATATCCAGTATGGTTTTCGAGCCGGTGCAGTGTGAACAGTGCCTAAGACATGTGACACTGACGTAACTTAGGATAAAGAAAAATGGGTGATAAGGAAACCGCAGTTATAGCGGTGACCAATTACAGCGGGATCAATCAAATATAACTATAACAAGAGTAAAAAATGCTATGAATGTTTAGGGGAAAAAAGGACAAAATACTACAATAATGTATAGATGGGGAAGCGACTCGGTTAATAATTAGTAATTCTAAAATACCGGTTTAAATGAACCTAGAGTCAGAAGGCTAAAAATAAGTCCATCTGTATCAACTCCAAATTCTGTAGATCATTACTAACGAGAAATGATCTCTGGTAGTAAATCATGGCTTTTCATTTGAGGGAAATTTATTTAGAATGTTAAATAAACAGTAGTTGATTAAGCTAGTGGATGTACGTAATAATTAGGGCATAGTGGTGTTTGTTGACAAAACCATGTGTTTATTGACATAGTCAATAAGAACTAATTAATTCATGATTGATTAATAGTTTATGCCAATACTGTCAGATGGTTTAATAACAATGAATAAACATGGTGACAACTGTCTTTGAGCGCGTCTCTCGTTATGCCTTACGCCTTACAATACGTTTCGTCAAAGACGAAATGAGACGTTCCCAACCAACATTCGAGCTTTTCGACGTCAGTTTCTGAAGATCAGATTGACCATCGCCTTTTTTGTTAGAGGTATTTTTGTGTCATCCGACAACATCATCAATCGAAATGATCATTAACGTACCGTGTCTACCGAGTAAGAGAGGGTTAGTCCAACCCTAATGTATACTCCAAAATGTAAAGGAAGATCCTCGCAGTGTCCTAAGGAAACAAAGAAAGTACCCTGAGTTACGAAATGCTGCGTTACTAAATCTCCCTTCGCTAAACCAATGTTAATTTAAGGTGGGAAATGTTCAACTATGCCCTTACTTTTCTCCAGGATAACATGATAGTCCAGTTTCGAGTCCGCTACGGACTGGTGAATTAAAGAATTGAGGACACATTTTTTTCAAGCTCAGAGCCTCCATCTCTAAATATGTTCACAAATTCCAACGAGAAGGAAATCTGTCTATCATGCTACATGCAAACGGACGCAACATTGTTGGATGTTACATGTTGCGTGCACCTTGTTGCATGATGTTGCACGTTGTTCCGTTTTGTTGGAGTTGTTGCGCAAAGTTTGAAACCAGTCAAACCGCTTAGCCACGTGTAAACAGACGCAGCAACTCAGCCCAACAATGTTTGGAGTTGTTGGCCAACAATGTTGCGGTTGGCCAACAATGTTGCGTCCGTTTGCAAGGGACTTTACTCTGTCTAATGTGTTCAAGTTAAAAACACTTACTTGCGGCGGAATTTGGGGGTACTTTACTTTATGTCGAGGCTAATTACCCACTATGAATGTGTCGTTAAATAAATGCTTGTATTTAGCGGTAATTTTTAATTCGAGACTGGACTATTGTGCTTGTTGCTTTTGAAAACGAGAACAATTTAGAAACTTGGTTGGTCGTCAGGACAACGCATTATTATTAATTTTAAGGCTGTGTTCTGATCTTGACCAACTTTTGATCGGCTCAAAGAATTCAGCCCGCCAGCTTTCCTTCTTTCAGACTGGAAATCTAAGCACAAAGAGCTTGCAATCCAAAAAAAGGAAAACGAAGAAAGGCTTGAACGTTCCAAATTAATAATAATAATTTATAATTTTATTAGGAGGCAAACTTCACTAACTAAGTGGTTTACAGAAGGATCCTCTTATATGACTAAATGATTGAGCTAAAAGATAATAAGTTAATAACCTAAAAATATATCATATTACAATATAAAATGCGGTAATACAGGATGAAAGCATGAGTACAAAATAAAATGCTTGATAGTACAGGAGAGAAGTACGAATTAAAATTTAGCGTTAGAAAAGCCGCGTTCAAAAGCTGCTATGGAGGGCGTTTGCTTTAAAGAAAGATCCAAAGTGTTCCGAATATCTGCAGCAAAGTTAGTCTAATGTCCCCAGCTTCTAGACGCGGAAGATGCCGATATTATGCTTAGATCCAGTATTACTGACAATTATGAAAACTACTACTAATTAAACATTGATCCGAATGCATAAAAAGGTTATTAATATACTTGGAAGTAAAAATAACGCAGCGCTAAGCCCTCCAGCGCTGTAAAGGTTTCCAACGGAGTCTCCAATTGAAAGTGAGTCGCTTGAAAAGGCACGCGAGGGAAGATCTAAAATTAGTCGCGCAAACTAATTGTAGAGTCACTTGTAATTCAGCCATGAGAGTGGTGTTATCCCTGTCTCCCCCAATTACATCAGCGTAGTAGAAAAGGGGTAAAAAAAGAGTTGAAGAGCATATTCCTTGCACTTTTAGTGGTAGGCAGGACTTAATGCGCCGCAAAATACATAGTATAGCTTCTGGTTTATATTACGGCGCAGGTATTCAACGTGGTCATCCCACGTAAGGTTCGTCAAGATGTTTACTATCTGCGGAAATGGCATGAACAGTTGAGTCGACTTTACTAAGCCTTGCGTGCCTACCTACTAAAATAAAATGTGGCTTCTTGGGGTCAGGAGTAAGCTCATTAATTAACCCTTTCACTGCCAGAGTGTTTGATAGAGTTTTGTAGGGTGACTCTAACTTTTGCGTCTGCGGACGAAATCCTATGATGTGACCATTCAAATGAAAGCTCTCTGCTAGTACTTTCACATGATACTATTTACTTCTCAAAATTTTAGAGAATAATGAAATTTGGAAATTTGGTCGAAATTTGCCTTTGGCCACGTTTGGCAGTGAAAGGGTTAAGTTTCGTCCAGTCGCCACGTATCTGAGGTTCGAGTTCAAACTTTGATTCAAATTCTGAAATACTTATAAGTTGCGAGGAGAAATATAAAACAGTGTCATCAGCATACAAGGTAATGTTACTGAAGTCGAGGACATATGGGTGTATCATTCACATATATTAGCGGCCCAGGATAGAACCCTGTACACGTCCAACAGATACTGCAGCTCGTATGCAAGTTCATACCTCTGTTCTCACGACAAAGTAAAATTGCTTCGTTAATCAGGCCCGATACACGAACTTTTATGAGCTTTTGTCCGGGCTTAAATTAATTTAAGCGGCGATTTTAGCCGCAGTTTTGTGGCATTTGCCAGTTATGCGGTGGTTCTATAGCGTGCAAGTATTAAAACTCGCCACAGCTGTATGGTTTTGGTAACTCCCCCGGGGGGGGGTACTTGGGTTATTTTTTGCTGGGTATGTGCCGCTGGCGTCTCAGGGCCCCTACCCCATTATAGTCTTTTCCGCCTTTGGCCAATTATAGACCCCATCTTAGTCACTTTAATTTTGGGTAAATATGTAGTTTTCGCAATCCCAATATGATCGTCCCGATAGCCCCAGTCGTTACAAAAAATTTCGAGACGATTCGGACGCCATCAAAACCTGTCGGGGGACCAAGGTCCCCCCCCCCCCCTGCTTCGGTCCTGCCTAGATTAGTAGATTTACCCCCGATCTGATTTAATCCGAACAAAATAATATAATTCGAACCCTTGATCTGGTTTATTTCAAAATTCAGGAACCAGGACAGATCAAAATGCGTTTTGCCTGTTCTAACTTTTAATTAAGCTTTAAAACGTCACAATAAATCGAATTCATTTTAGTACAAGCTAGAGGGAAGCTTATGAAAGACCTCTTTAGCTTGTATGTTTTGTCTACCCAATACAGGTTATGTGATAATTGTCAGCTTCACACTAGGAGCGAAGTTAGTTTCAAGTAAGCACTTGTTTCAAGTGCGCTTGGAAATCTTAAGTCGCTCTGTAGAAAACATGGCTTCACACTTGTTGACAAAGTATAATCCTTGAAGTAAAAGCTGTCAATCTCTCCTTTCATTAGAATCTTGGAACCGCTGCACTTGCACATCGTGCACATGGCTTCCATTTCTTAATGGTCAAGTATGTTCTCAAGTGTGGTGTAGCCCATACTTAGCGGCGAACTTCGGCTTCTTTGAACTACGAACGTTTCCACGGTGACCATGTAAAGTTGAAGTAGGAACATTTTACCCGTTCACTGTCAAAGTAGGATCTAAGTACACTTACAATATACTGGAAGGTCTGGTGTGGAGCCAACAAATACTCTAACCGAGAACTGTTTCTTTCAAATTTCGTCTTATTCAAAAGGGTCAAGTTCCCCTGGGACCTCTATTGGGAAAACGAAACATACTAGCTAAAGAGGTTTAATAGTAATAAAGACTTTATTAATGTGTAAAATGCCTAGCTTACACAAGTATAAACTAATTATGGACACCAATTATTTTATTGGCTGCATGTTTTGTTTAGAGTCTTTACAGGTAGATGGTAGATGGGCCTATAACTGAGTGGGTCTATGAACGCCAGTGTACGGTATATCACATGTTTTCCCAGAGGAAGCTTAAAGTAAAACATTTCAATCCATTTATCATGTTTTCATTATAACGAGTAGTTACCTTATTTGGGCCCCGTTGTTCGAACGTTGAATAGAACTATCCACCGGAATGGCCGGATAAACCACTAACCAGCGGATAAGTATTTGGGAAACTAATAGCTCTATCCAGTGGATGGGGATTTATTCGCCAGGCCCCAGTTGTTGGAAAGGTGAATAGCGCTATCTTGCGTTCTCATTTTTTCTATCAATCGCGAGGCATTCGCGAGGCAACTAGCCTGTTCCCAGATCTGCTATTTTCTCTTAAACGATCGTCGAGCGCGCGTATGAAAATAAAAACCACGGGAGACTTATTGACCACAAGCCCAAGGGGGTGGAGGTAGGGAAAAGAGAACACGGACCAACGGCGTTCTCTTCGCTCGCACGCTGTCAAATTGTCGAATTGTCAAAAAAGGAGAAGAAGAACAAAGAAGAAAGAAAAAAGGACAATGTATGTGGACTGGCTAAAAGGCAACAGATCACCAATATTCGTCATCCGATTCATCATATTCGCTGCTTTCATCTAACATAAACTCTTCCACATCCCACAAGTCCCAGTCTGTTTCTGCCAAAGCGTTTAAGATCTTATGCCGTAACAAGACAATTTGAAAGTCTGTGACAATTTCAATCGGCAGACCTTGACTTTTCACCAAACACATCACTTCGCTTGATGACAACTGGCCATAGGCTCTGCCTGTAAACCTACAATCTATGAATCTTCTTGATGCCAGCTGCACCAATTTGCACATACTTTGTCCAAAGAGCATTGGAATTAAGCTGATTCCGAAGTGTTTGAGGTTTGCCAAGGACTCATCGCTTGAATTTCCCCAGGACGCATACTCAAGCATCTCCAGCAAAATTTCTTCTGTGGAGAAATAGCCGCTATCTACCAACGGAGCAAGTTCATGGCAAGTAAGCAGAATGTCCTTTCGACCAATGGAGGACCATGGAATAACAGCAGCTAGTAATGGTGATACGTATCTGAAAAAAATTAATGATGGTAATAGAACTGAGTGGAGTCAAACTCGGTTCGTAATCATACAAGTGATTAACAAAATCGGACGCCCGTGTAGCAGGAGTCCGATTTGTTAATCACGCGTATCATGGCAGACCAAATTGGATGACACAAAGCCCTTTTACTGTCTAACGTTACAAATTAGTCCATTTTGGAAAATCCCCAGTTTGAATTGGTAGGGTAAGTGGTTCTGTGATTGGTGGATTTAGCTGAGTGTACTTTGTATGATTGGCTGATGTAAATGTCCGATAACAGGTGTCTGATAAGATTACAGCCAACTGTCTGATTACAACCCTACACAATGATTAGTGAAAAGTAAAGCAGTTAATGCACCAATCAAATTTGGGGAAATTGCAATGGTTATGATTAAAAGCAAAGAAGATGAACAGTAAAAACTGACAATTTCCTCCAGTTTACTTTACATATAGAAATAAGAGGTGAACAACTAAATGGAAAATGTAGTAGACATCCATTAAAGTAATAATGACTCCTTTGTTTACTGTTGTAGTCTTCAAGAAAAGACTGTACACTATTCAACAATTTTGGTGGGTGAATTAATCAATGTCAAACAAACAATTTTTCCCCAGCTCGGAGAACAAAAAGTCAAAATTTAAGAAAAAATTTTTTTTATTACTATAATATGACTTGTTAATTCACTTATGATGAGAATCTGTATTCAGCAGAAACTGTACTCAACGATGTTGCATAAATTTTGGAGGATATGTCAATTTTCCCCTGTAAATGTTTCATATTAGTTTTACCAAATTGCACATAAAATCAACAGCCAAGTGTAGTAATAATGATACAGAGAATTCATGTGGATTTATATTTATTTTAATTAGCAACGATTAAATTTGATGAAAATCAACTTTGGTTCATTCTACCGGTAATAATTATTTGATTGGATGCTCTAAAATGAATTGAGAAAATTATCTGAGAAAATGCTTTTGAACAAAAGAAAAAGAAACTCAGATTAAAGTTTAACCCCGGGTTAGCGCTAATCGGCCTTTGAACAACTGGGCAAAGAATCTACAGAAATAATTTACAAAAGCACTTATAAGAAGGCTTAAGTTAAATGGTCATATTCCTCTGGACTTTGTCATGATCCACAGACTTAAAAGTTAGAACAACACAAAAGGTTGTCACGGGGTGGTCGGAATTTATAGCAACAAGTGACTTTGACTGATAAACCCCTAGATTCCCTTCTCAATTAGCCCTGTATCTGCTTGTGAATTATGGGGAGAATTTGCACTAGATCAAAAGTCACTTGGTGCCTTTCTCTGCACACCCTCTCAATTGACTTGAGCAATGAAAAAAGTTATCACACCTTCCATCTGGTCCCAATCCTCGCAAGCTGGGGTCTGCTCCATGATCAAGAAGAATCTTTGCAACTTTGAAGTTGCCTGACTGCATGGCATAGAACAGAACTGTCCTGCTGTGAATCCCACAGTGGTTGATCTTGAACAAAACAAAACCAAAAGTAACATTATCCTGAAATCAAAGATCAACAAACTAATATGCAAAGAAAATATGTATTGGAAGGGATGCTTATTCGAGGTGGACACGTTGATCGCCTAAATACGGTAATTATATTATACTGGCACATTGCAGACCTACATGTATATCGGTATTGTGAAAGTGCAGAAAGCATATGCTTGCCAGTTTGATGAAATAATTATAACTAGTTCAGATGTATCTGCCTGCATGGCTTTGTCTAGTATACAATTAGTATAGGTAATAGCATGATTTGTAGTGATATTTGGCATAAATACCACGAATGATATTTTGAAATTGTTATATGTAATTTCACGAGCCGTTAGGCGAGTGAAATTTGAGACAATTTTGAAATATCACGAGTGGTATTTATGCCAAATATCACATACAAATCATGCTATTATTTGTTTATACTACTACCCGCAAAAGGTTTGTAATTTTCACATGTAGGTATTTCAAATTAAGCTGAAATACCACTGCTCTAGGCCAATCAGATTGCAGAAATTTCTCATGTAGTAGTATAAACAATAACACAGGCAGAAATTTTTTTTTCTTTTGTTATTCACTATGTTAGTTTTGCTTTGTGGGGTATTGTTGCAAAAAAATAAAAAATAAATTCTCTTGTTTGAAGAGGCACGATGTCCAATCATTCTAACTCAATCATGAACAGTAGCAGGAATAAATCAACAAAAAATTTGGAGACATAAGTTTAATAAATATGTTGTAAAATCTTAAGATAACAACTTTTATTCTGGGTTCATTTGCCTGTTCAAAGAACACCACCTGTCACTAAAAGTGAAAAAAAAGCCTGATATACAATTCTCGATAATAACAATAATATACTTTTTTTATCGTTATTACATTCGTAAAAGCCAGGAAAGTAATTCTGAAAAATCAGCTGAACCTCTGGTATAGGCTAAGGGTTCTAGGGTCCCAGCGGCACATCCCCCCCCCCCACAAAAATTCCTAAAGTTCCCCCCCCCCGGAGTCTACAATACTTGCAGTCTACAAATTAGCATTTGAATATGATTTTTCTCTCTGACTTGTAATAAAAGAAAAGAACCTCAGTACTAGAACAAATTATTATTGTGACATGCTTGATTCTTTAAGAATAGAAAACTCAGTGTGCTTGTTCAAACAAAATAAGAAATTTCCAACATACCTTTACACTTTCAAATGACAGCAAAAAACGCACAGCTTCACTGACATCACTGTCAAGACAAGGACCTTGGTCAATGCCATCACGCCACGGCAATGGACAACAAAGTGACATAAGAGGAGTATTTCCGAGACAATCAGTTGCCAAAAGATCAGCTCCATTATCACACAAAGCTTGTGCCATACGCAAGTCCTGTGATCTTAACAGTGTTGAATGCAGAGGTGTCTTCATTTCTGCATCTCGAACATTTACATCTGCACCATGACCGAGTAACAACCAGACTGCATTTATTAGTTCTTCAACTAGGTCTGCCTTGATCTTAATATCTTTTCCATTTAGTGACAATACTTGATGACAGGAGAGAGCTTCTTCTGTGACAATGTTATCCTTGCTGGTTACCAGATTGTAGAAGCTGACCAAACACTGCAGAGGTGACCTTCCTGGTCCAACATACTCAGCACCACTAGTCTGCAGAGGTAAAATGGATACATAGTAGACGTAAGCCGAGTAATTTTCATCATTCAGGGCCTGAGTAATTAAAAAACATCCAAACAAAATGTATTGGTTCAGTTACTCTACCAGAGCATAACAACCGTAACTGTAGTATTTACCTCTGGAATTCTCAGATTAGGATCTGCCCCTAAAAATACCACAAAAAAATAATAAACTATTGTCAAGACTTTAAAGAATATAAATTAAATTAGACCACACATCTATCAAAAGTGAAAGCATTTCTTGCAATATATTTTACCTCTTTCTATTAACCGTCGTGCAATCTTTAAATGAACTGGAATGACCTTGCCATCAACTGCAGAATTCTCGCCAGAAAGAACTATGTAAAGTGGGATCCTCTGGTAAAATCCCTCATCCAAACACATTCCGTATCGACTGTTAATAAACTCCAATGCTTCATCAAAACGTCTTGTCTCTAAAGCGCGAGTTAAGGGAGTTTCATTGATTCCAAACACAACGTTGAAAGACACAGGAGGAGCCGCCGCCATGATTGTTGTTTTGACCTATCATAATTACCCATAATGCATTGCTAAATTAACTTGCCGCTGCTGGAATCCAGTACGAAATTTACTATTTCCATGGCAAACGGATCGTTGAGGGAAAAGTTTAGCTTTCACTGCTTTGTGAAATACTTTCTTTTTGCTACTAATGCCATTTTATGGGTAAGTATCACCAACGTTCTTGCATGTTATTGTAAATGTACTGCTCCTATCGTGAGAGACCTCTGCCGCTAACAGGTAACCTCGAGCTCTGAGCTACATGTCCGTTCTGTTTCCTTTTCGGCACAACGTAAACTACTAGCATGCCAGTAATAATGTGCTGTAACCCCCAGTCGTTGTTTTTTACTTTCGCCCGATGCTTTCGCGTTTCTTTCGCGCGTGCCCCGTTTGGCAAGCTCTCCCTCCAACACCCCTACCCCTACCCCTCGGGAGAGCTTGTCTGTAGGCAAGTATAACATTAGCAATGCGGCTAGATGATCTGGTTATAAAGAATTCCTCAAGATCACTTTCATGTGATAGTTAAAGATTTCATCTAAACAATATATAAGCAAGTCGCAGGTCAGGCAGCCTGGCTAAGTGGTTTGCTCGACGGACTTACAATAGGGCAGTCCCTGGCCATCCTCGGAGACCAGGGGCAGATAAAGGGGGCAAGGGAAAGTGGGCGGAAAAATATATATGGAACAAAGAAAAGTAAAGAACGGCGAGAAGAGCCCCTGGGGACAATGTCTTACCAGACCAGTTCCAAACGGTCGCTGCCAATCTGGCTTCTGATGGGTGCCAGAAAAACACAAGTTTTCTGGCACCAATCAGAAGCCAGAACGACGGCGACCGTTTGGAGCTAGCCTGGTAAGACATTGTCCCCAGGGGCTCTTCTTGCCGTTCTTTACTTTTCTTTGTGCCACATTTTTCCGCCCGTTTAGACTTTCCTTCGTCCCCACTATCTGCCCCTGGGTCTCCGAGGATGGTCCCTGGCTCGAGTAATGCTCTTTGGCCACTTGCTGGATTTGATCTCAGTTGTCCCAAGTTCAAATCCTCAGCCAGGGTTGTAACTTGCCGGCTGGTTGCCTCCTTTTAATCCTGTTATGTTATATCTGAATTATTTATTTCTAATATAGAGGTTAAATGCACTTTCCACTATGAACATACCATAACCTTTGATGTTAAGCAAGGTTAGTGTAAAAGCTGTGCAGAAAGTTATTCTGCCCATCTCAACCTGCTCTCTGCTTTTTATTTCTGGAGCCGAGAAAGGCTTTGTCCACATCAGTCAAGTACATCTCTGCTTCGTCAGAGATCATTGCAAATTCTGGGGATGGGGGTGTAAGGATCAAAATTGTCTCTAATTAAAGACAGTCTCAGATTGTTTTATTTCTTCCACTGGCCCTTCTCTTTCCTTTCTCAGCACACCTGCTACTAATATCTAATAGATTAAATGAGGATCATTAATTTGTATCGTGCATCCTGAATGTAATCTTCTTCTTTTTTAATGTCCGGGGTCTTTGCTTAACTAAATTAAAAAATATTTTAAAATACCACATAATAATTATGTATAGGTTAGACTGACCAAGGTGCAGATTGTCTCATCTTAATATTGTAGATTTCAGGTCTGAAATATTTTGTTGAATAAGTGCCCACTTAAGTATGGGCGCTTATTACGTTTTCCTAACTAAAGATTGGTCCAGTTGTTTCTGGGAAGTTCCAGTATTTACAAAGGGTGTGGGCAATAGGACAAAAGTTAAAAGAAGAGATACATGTAACACACATAAAGGAACTCTCCAAGTGCCAACATATGATACAATACTTTATTTAACAAGGAATTTACACTTAGCTTAATCACCTAGTTTACAGTTAATCCACAGCCATATAAGTATATTCTAAAAATTAAAAACTAAAAATGTATCATAATTATTCATGATACATGTATGAAAACTGTAAAAGCTAAGAACTAAGAATTGATAAAAACAATAAAAGCAACAAGCAGCAGCTACCATGAATTCTGATATCATAATCTTAAGCAATCAAACTTTGTTCTTCACTTCATTAGTGCCTGCTTTAATTCTAATATCATTTGAGGGCTAGTTCCTTTACTTAGCGGCAAAATGTTTCCATGATTTGAGACCATCCATATATTTAGTCATGTTGACTTTAGGCAATGAAAGGATATAATCATGTTGAAGATTATAATTGGCTAAGTGTGAGGTGATAAGATCTCTTAAGTTAATTGTGGGTGGAGCTTTGTCTGATATACTATTGTTTATTGTCAATTGCATGCCTTGGATGATGGGAGTCTTTCTTTCCAAGAAATCTTGATAAGATGCACTTTTATCTTTGAAGATACATGTACTACCTCAAAGCCTTTTCGTTGACTTTCTCAATTTCCTGTTAAAGAAACATGGATGTAGAAATAACTGAAAGTGACTTTAACGGAAAAGAGACATTCTTTGATACTGAAAAAGTGAGAAGGGGGTAGGTTTATTCAATGGGGTGCTTAGACCTGTATTTGATAAAATGGCCAAGTGGGGGGTGCTTTTTCCAGGAAATATGGTATTGTAGGGAAATTCTCAAGTTAAGTGTGAAATTGTATAAGGATTGCAGCAAGCATACCACAGCACCTCCGTCCAATTTTCCTGGATTATACCCCCCCTCCCCCAAGGCTTTAATATGCTCAATCAAAAGTCATGCTGTTATCTGTCAATAATCCCTAATTTGGCTTTACGCACTTTATGTATTATGTCAGATCATCAGTATAATTTTTATTGGAGTGGGATCATGGGCTCATGATGAGAAGAAAAAATACAGTGACCTGGACAGCCTGGCATTTGATCCCTCCATTTTGATTATTTTTGTGGGCTGCTTGATGTTTGTAATCACATTCTGCGGATGTATTGGAGCTCTGAGGGAAAACAAACTCTTACTACGAATTGTAAGTTACCAGTAAATTATGTAACTATTCTGCTTTTAAGATCCCCACGAAAATTCAAGGGTTGTCACTAAGATTTCAAGTTGCCAATGTTAATACAACAAGTAGGCAGGGAATCAATTCAAACAGCTAGGGGTTTCTAACAGTTTTTCAAGCTTCATATTCATTGTTTGTAACATTTGATATAATACTGGGGAGACATATTGGTTTGACACAAAGTTGTAATTTTGTTATTCACAAGGAATGTCTAAGTTCAATAGCGAATGAAGATGCGTAATTGGCACCATAAACAAAATGACGTAGGCAGCTGTGACAGAGCTCCTTTAATATCATGATTATTTTAAATTTTGTAGTTTATGGGATCACTGACCATTATCTTCATCTTGGAACTGGTCACTGGATTTGTTGCATTCTTTTTTGTCGACAAGGTAAAAGGAATTAAATTGTTCATACTCACCTTTGCGAAGTCCAATGAAAGCTTTTAGTTTTGCTTGCCAGTGTTTGTTTGCGATTGTTTAGACTGTCTTTAATAATACCTATAGGCTCAAATAGTAAACAGCATCTGATCTTTCACTATGTCACTGAATTTAACAGAAAGGTCATTGAAGAAAAGGAAATGACTTTTTCCCCTGCACTGGTACCATACAAGATTTGAGGGAAACTATGCAAATTAGAGAAAGAAAAAAATAAAAAGATGGTTGTAAATTTTTGAGAAATCAAAACTGACTATGTCTAGACTGTCCAACCACCCGCAGCCTCTCTGTTTCTAATAATAAGTCCATCGAGGTAATTATAGGTGAGGGACATCTTGTGGGAGGCAGCAGTGGAAGGCAGCATGGCAGAGTGGTCAGCGCGTCAGACTAGCAATCAGACTATCCCGGGTTCGAGTCCCGCTCTGGCCACTTGCTGGATTTGTTCTCTGTCATCCCAAGTTCAAATCTTCAGCCACACTTGTAAATAGCCAACTGGTTGCTTCCCGCCAGTTGGGGTTTTTAATCCTGTTATGCTTTATTTGCATTATCTGTTTCAGAGTTATTTGAATGGAGTGCCTGTAAACTAGCTGGATAAGCTAAGTGCACTTGCCACTATAAACAAACCTTTGAATCAAAAAGACATAAATGGTCATTTGCATAAAAAATAGAGGATGCAAGTTCTTGTTCTTCAGACTGCTACTCTCACTTTTCAAATCTTGCCTCTTGCAGTGCATGAGTACTGCTGTGCCTCTTTGACTTTGTCTACTCACAAAGTTTTTTGAAAACAAAAGATTCTCAAGAACAATAGCATACATAATTTTATTTGAGGGTTGTTTCCTGAGAACTCAGTTAATGGTTTTATAGTTTTCAACGGTTGCATAATTGAACCTTAAATTTATTTGCAAAAAAATTGAGAATCTTTTGTTCGTAGAAAACGTTATGATTGGACAATTCTCTAGCAAGTGTCCCGGTTTGAGTGTCTGCAATGTATTAAAAGTAAAAACGGGATAGAAATAATTGCTTGCATTAAAGAGGTTTCTGTACAGTAGTATAAAGTTTTATTGCTTTGTTTGGCACTTTTGAGACTGTACAAAGAATCGTCCACACAATTTTGAAGAGATGTCTGTATTTTATCTCGTTTGATCATCTTCTTCCACATTCATTATAATAAAGCAAGAGCAAACTAAGCTCTTTATTCGAAGCCATATCTGGCCCCATGTACAAGGCAATCCAAATTCCAAAATCTGGGAAATTTTTGCTCGTGGAAGTTGGTATCCTGGGCTTTGGAATCTGGATTTCAGCCTTAGGATAACGTTTGGAATTCAGAATCCAAGTTCCTGCTGACGAGGAATATGGAATCTACAGCGTAGATAAATACAGAATATCAAGACTGCCCAGGATTGCCTCACCTGTCTGACCCTGGGGGGTGGACTCCGCATATGAAAGAGGTTGGGATGCTCGTCGTCTTGCTTAGGGGTGTAAATTTCGGATTTTGGTCTCACTTAGGGTGTTCTGGGCAAAACGCCATCATATTTAGCCGTGAAGGTCTTGATTAGGGTTGCATGCGAAAAAATATATATTGTTTGTGTTTTAACATGGTCTCTTTTAGGGGTCAAAAAAAGCTCGGGCCACGCCCAGATCGGTCTCCTTTATGGGTTTAATTCAAAATTTCTGACGACCATCCCCACCCCTTTCATATTCGGAGTCCCCTCCCCGGGCAACATACCCCTTATAACAAATCCCTGAAAATTGTTTTTAAAAAAATCACTGGTGTACTTAACGACTGTTTTCTGTAAAATGTCTGTTCGAAGCAAATATTGCGTAGAATTTTTATTACTTGAAGACGGCCAAAAATTTCTAGATGACCGTTCCTTTCGTGTACAATTTTCGAAGCTTACCTTATAATTTCCCTATGAATTTCTTAAGTTTAATTTCTCACATTTCACTTCCAAGGTTAGGCTATTTTATATTTCGTCGAAAACAGGAAACCGAAATTTTCGGATTTAAAAATGTGATACATGGAGAGAGGAATCTAAAAAATTCTTACTTTCGAAATACATTAAATTGCACCTAAAATTTTCAGGAAAAGAAAACCGTGAAGACCCTTGTAATTTTGAAAAGACTTAAGTTCCCCTAGGATGTCCGAACAGATACAAATTTTATAGCACCGCTTAGAATGCATTCCTAGAGATCTATAAGTACACTGAATAGCCCTTAAGAGTGATTTCAATGTATTTAGGAGGAAACCGTCATTGGGTGCCCCTGAAGTCAGTAAAAATACCTAACTCTATTATCCTTGCAGACCCGTAGTAAAGTGAAAGAGGCAACATACAAGGTGATCAAACGGTACAGAGATGACCCAGATCTTCAAAATGCAATAGATGGAATACAGAAAGGATTGAAATGCTGTGGAGGATACTCTTACCATGACTGGGAACATAATGAGCACTTCAACTGTTCAGTCAAAACAGTACAGGCATGTGGTGTACCCTTCTCATGTTGTCGCGAGGTAAGCATGTCTGCGCTCTTGAGCCAGATCGCCGTATGGTCAGTTGCTTCTTAAAGCATTTGAAAAGAAAAATGAGCGGTAACATTACAGTAAAACTCCGCGACTTAGAGCCTGTGAGGTTAAAATTTGGCACTTAAAGGAGCTGTGTCACGAAATTCAGCCAAATTAGGACAGGTATTACAAAACGCCCGTTAAATCCAAGAGAAACATAAAAATAACCGCTTAAAACATTAAAGGAAGGTTAAAATAACACAACAGATACAACAGATGTCACGGATGGGCAAAAGTGACGAGGATTGAAACTGGATTGAAAACTGTTCAACTAGCCTAACAGTTTTTTAAAGTTTATCTCTGCTGTTTGCAACTTCAAAAATAATGCTCAGGAGACATATTTGTTTGTCTTGAATCTCTGACTTTGTCATTTACGTGTAATTTCTTTGCTCACTTTAAGTTCCATAGCGATTGAAAGCGAGTAATTGGAAAATTAAACGAAATGGACTGGACTGCCGTGACACAGCCCCTTTAAGCCCCCTCTATTTAAGAGCCTGTTTAGCCTAGAATTTGAAACAGGTTCTTATTTTCTAAAATCTATGAAAAAATTCTGTGCACTTGGGCAAATAACGTAAGTCAACATTAAGAATCCTCTTTGGAGACATACAATTGCTATTGCTACTACTGACCAAATCATTTTCATCTCTCGGAAGTGGCATAGTCTCCTTTGCAGACGTTCGAGCGGGAGTCACGCAGGAAGCTTGCGTGACTCCGGCCCAAGTGGCTACGAAGGAGACTATACCTGGCAAGGCTCAGTGAAGATAAATCTAGAAGTCTTTCAATGCCTCGCATGGGATAAAGTGGAAGATGATCATCAGACTGGGTCGCTGTTGTGTCGAATTGCACTATGGGACAGTTTTGGAAACACTGTCCATTGGCTGTTGCCAGGTTACACAGGAAATTGGGTTAAAACATTCCCATAGTTCCCTAAAAACGCTAACGTGGGAGCGAGGCTAGCTATTGTGATGTGGTGTGGCTATAGTTCAGTGTCTTTTCAATCATTTTTTTCAAAACTCAAGTAAAACTCTTTGATAATTCATAAACAAAAAACAAAAGAAATTAGTCTTTAAGGAGTGTCTTTATATCTGATAGAGATACGGCTTAACTTTACGTCCAAGATAACCTTAAATCTAAATATTTGTGCAAGAATGAGGTGATCTATATCAGAGATTTTGAAGCCATTCAAAAAACTCGCAGTCGTGTATTATAAGGTGTAAAAACTCTCGGCTTCGTCTTGAGTTTTACGTCATTTGGTGTTTGCACGTATCCGTAGAGTTACTCGCTGCTTAATTTTTGTTTACACTGATATTCTTTGTCGAACAGGATCAAATAAATACACAGTGTGGATTTTCTGTACGACGAGAGAAATTCGTAAGTACCTTTTATTAATTAGTACGCGCCGCAAACAAATTTTACGATAGCAAAAGGAAAAAGGACGACGTGCATTACTAAATTAATATCATGCGCGTGCTTTGCTTGTTTACAGCTGTAATCGAGGTGTTACAGATCTATTCTATACTATAAAAGATTACATTTAGACCTGTCAGTAACTGCGACCACATTATGTTCTGCAGTTGGTATAGGATTTAGTGGAGCCAAAACCAATTGAGGGAATTCCACTCATTTTAGGCATCCTAGTGACGAACTGTTACTACAAGGATATTTGCTGACGCGACCGGCCATAATATTGTAGTCTGTCCCCTCTTTCGCTCTTCCATTGTTTGTTAACTCGTCTAAAACAATGATTTTATTTCAAATAGTTATGGGGAGTCGTGGGACTCATTTTGTGAAAAATCATGAGTCCCAGTTCAAAAAAAAGTGATTCCGAAATTGAAAATGCTTCAGGGGGTGCGCCTTTAACCAGGCAGTTGATCGAAAGACAGACTCCAAAACTATGTATTACAGTTTACTGAAATTCTAATATAGTCCTTCTATTTTAAAGCGCAACAAAGGCTAAAAGAAATATGCCGATCGTTAAACAATAGCTGTAATAACTGACACAGAAATTACGCGGACGTGCTGGATATTTCTTCAAACACCAGGGTCCGAAATTGCGCCTTCCTAGTCGCCAATGCGACCAAAAATTCAGTTCTGGCGACCAGAATTTCGTAGTTGGTCGCCAGCTGGCGACTGGTAAAGCTGGTTGTCATTGTAGTCTTTCACGTTCGGAGAAAATGATTAAGAATTGAAACCTCGAAGCTATTTGCCAACAGGTGTCTTACTTTTCGTCCTGCAGATATTTTTTTAATTTAAAAGTGAAACGAATCTTCCTGTAAATATACCTCCACAACAGCTACGATCAATACGAGTTGAATTTTTGGATTTTTGGCGACCATAATTTGCCCCCTGGCGACCGAAAATTTATACTTGCTCACCAGTTGGCGCCCATGTTAAAAAGTTAATTTCGGACCCTGAACACGCATGTTCAGATCGATCGATTTCTGCGTCCTACGGGACGCATGCCGTGAATTATTTTCGCCTTTGGGGATTTGCTTTGCGTCAGGGACGCAGGACGCAGAGCTGAGGTAACAAAATCACTGCAAAAAATATCGGAATTTAAAAAAAAAATCAGTAGCAGGGAACCTGATAGGGGATGGCAAATTAATGAAATTTTACAAAACACGATTCGAAGCCTCTAATAAGCCAGTGTTCATTCAAATGTGTCATGTGTATACAGTGACCTCTGCGCATCTCTTAGTTGGTATCTACAACATTTTTATTTCTTAGGAAACGGAAGCTTCCTCGTTGATTTACACCCAAGGATGTATAGACAGCCTGACAAACTGGATTAACGACAATCTTCACATCGTTGGCGGTCTGGCATTTGGTTTTGCAGTTATCCAGGTCAGTGTGTATTTCAGGTTAAAGGGGCTCTGCCCCGGCTGTCTTTTTAAGTTTATTTTGTGTAAAATGGCAATTACGCGTCCTTATTCTCTATGTAAATTAAGATTTTACTTCGGAATGACAAAATCACCGCCTCGTGTCCAGCAATTGCACCTCCCAAACATTTTTTCAAACGTTAAAAACAACAAATGAACCTTGCAAAACTGTCAGGCTAGCAACTGTTTCAAAAAGCATAATTGCAATCTGTTTCATTCTCTTTCAATCACGTTTGTTTATCCATTCCTCTTTTTGTATTTGTTGTGTTATCTATATATGTAAATTCTTTACTTAATTTCTTCAGTTTCACTCAATTTGGTGATATTTCCCACCGTCTGAATTTTGGTGAATTTTGTGACACAACTCCTAAAACAGTCATCAGTAATTGCACTGTGGGTCAGCTACTCCGTTAGCAAAGTCCTCTTTAAGATTGCCGATAAGGTATCCAGATCGTTGGCGGGTATCAGGTCGTTTCGCTCGAAGTTGTTTTGCCCGAACGTAAGTCGGTTCGCCTGATGTAAAGTTGTCGCTCTTTCAGCCTGAAAAAACGAATAAGCGTGAAAAAACAGTAACTGTACATGTGGGTCAACAACTTTTTCCAGCAAAAACGTGAACAAAAATACAAATTACACATCAAAGATCTAATTGTTGCGTTGCTGTACAGTCTGTCGTCTCGAATATGATTATCAAGATCGCTAAAATCTTTCAGATCGCTCGACCTTTAATTTTTTAGGATAGCAGCAATAGAGATCAATAGAATCCAAGCTTAACTAAAAATATCTCTGATATTAAAGACGTGTTGAAGAGTGCTGTTTGTCATCGGGCGAATGGACTTAAGTCCGAGCGAAACAACTTCGGGTGAAACGCGACCACAGTTAGTGGGACCCTCAGTTATGTTGTGATGCTTTTTTTCGGATGGGGAGGAGACTGACAGGTGCTCAGTCTTCCTGAAGGCTAAACGTTGTACAATGAATCATAATTTCCTGACCATAATAATAGAAGTAATTAGATACTGCTATGAAACCCTTTGAAACCTTTCTTTTCTGGTTTTCCTCCTCTAGCTACTCGGTATACTTGGCGCTTATAACATGATCCGAGACATCGACCTGATATTGAAGTCAGCGGACAGCGACACAGGAATAAACTATATGCTATGAAACAACCACTGGCCATAAGGCAGAAAATGGTAGAACCAATTTTATCAGTACACTCTTGATAAAAAGCTAGCTTCAGTTCAAACTGTAGACTTTATCCGTTGACTACGTTGCTCAAGTTTCTTGCCGAAGAAATGTAAGAGGTCGACGTGATTGCAAGGCTATCGTAACTGTCTCCAGCGCAATTTGCTAGAAATTGAACTTGTCAACGTATAGTGAAAGTGAATTCGACTGCTTGAAAAAACCAAAAACGGAAATTCTTCCGAGTCCAGTTTAGAAGAGACAATGTGTAGCTTCTGGAAGGCTAAACATTGTCGTGACACGTGACTAGACTCTCAATGGCTCCGAACCTACAGATACCTCTTGGGCTACGCTCACACAGCGGCAACGGACGAATTTTCGACCGGTTGAAAATTTAGTTGTTCCGTTTAGACGGAACTATCTTAACCGTATAAGAATTTAGAACCCTAGCCTTAAAATATTTGAAAGCCAAAATCGAGTTCATTCTCTTAGCTGGTACGGTGGAAAATTTGACCTGCGCTGTGTGAGCACTATAACCATGTACATTTTTTGGCGACGAAGGTGTCGTTTCATGGATGCGTGGTAACTCAGCTGAAAGACGCCATTTTGGATTTACTGAAGTAGCGCTCTTCGCATGGGTAGATGGTAAAAGCTCTGACAAAAATTGATATTCAACCTGGTTCGTCAGTACCGTGTGAACAGTGAATGAACGGTTCTGTGTGAACGAAGAGTCCAGTCAAATTTCGTCCGGTGGCGTGTGAACGTAGCTTTGGTAGCTAGTCTTCGGTGGTGGTGGTGGTACGGGGGAAAACGATGGCCTTGTTTCTCTGCTCATCGTTCTATGCTCACTCACTATGTTTTCATGAGTTTTCTTTGGTGTAGCCAGCCTACAGACCTGTAGGCCCGGGCCTACTAATTTTTGCTATGATCACTCTACCGCTAGTAATAAACTATGCGCTGTTAGGTTGAGCAAAAACCTTCAGAGGTCAAAGTGTTGATGAGATCAGTGCGTACTAGTCATGCGTGCAATTTTCAGGTTACGCAGAAATGAAAGTCAGCCAGGCCTACAACTAGTCGAAAAACTGGCTACGCCCCGTTTTTTTTGTTTGTTTGTTTGTTTGTTTTGTTTTGTTTTGTTTTGTTTTGTTTTTTTCATTACATAGTGAAGATTCTTCCAAGGAGAGGGTTACAAGCACTTTTCTCCTATCGTTTTTGCCGTCAGGCCAGTTGTTGTCTAGAAATGGATATTTAACGTTGTATTATATGTGAATATTTAAAAACTTTGTACAGCCATTTTGTAAAATAAAGATCACTCAAAGCTGGTGCTTACATTTCAGGTAGTTTTACTAGTTTTGCCAGGCTTACCAAGGATACTACATGAGCCTATGCGAATTGCTGTGGATCCGTATAAACTAAATTCAAAACCGGCATAGCGTCGTGTTACCTTATGTTTGCTACGACCTTGCAGAGCGAAGTTGAAGTTTATTGTTTCATTGATTGATTTCCATAGAAGTTACAAATAAATTAAGCATACATGTACTTGTACATGCAAACATCTTTAGCGTCACTGCCCAGTGACGTGAGCATCTAAATAGAAACAGGGTCAGGTTCTGCTATATTCAGAAGAAAATGTAATTTGATCCTGATGAAATCATTCACTTCGTTCGCCTTAGACGCTGGAGCGTTGAAACAGTTTTTTTTTAAGTTTGTAATACCGACGAGAGCTTTGTGTAGAAAACTCCAATATTAGTTGGATTATATCAAACGAGGAGAGACTCTGTAGTTCAGTCTCTCTTTTTTTTTTTGCTATCAAGAGAGAATTATCTCATTCTCTCTTAATGCTATGTCTTTTATGCTGATGTATAATTGGTGCAAAGCGCAGGAAAATATACAATAGGTGTCAAGCGAGAGCAAATGTGCAACCGACACAACGCACGCGCAAGAAGACATATGGTTATATGTTAAAGGGCCGAAAAACGTGCAACCGTTGTCGGTGATGGTGAAATACAGCAGCTGCAGCCTAGTCCCTAGGCGTTCTCGGCTCGGTCAATCCTGGACTCTACCGTGAGCTGTGACGTCACCGAGAGAGACATGCCGAGAACGCGTTCTCTCGCCCGCTCTTTCCCAGACTTCGCGCGGACAACGGGGCAAGAGAGAAAGCCTAGGGAATAGGCTGCAGCAGCTGAACGCGTAAGCGGACCGGTTCGAGCCAGTAGAGAGGTTAAGCTTCACGTTGACGTCAAACGGCAAACGCCAATTTGTACCACGTGACCATGTTTCTCATTTGTCGTTTACCGTTCATTATTTCTACACATAAATTAGCAGTTTCACGAAATTTTTTATCCATAAGAATTGTGTTGAGCAGTTTTTATCTGCTCATTTTCTATTTTGAGAAATTCTCAACTTGAATCTGACGTTTGCTGTTTGCTGTATACGTGAAGCTTGAACTCTCTAGTAATAAAGCAAAAAGAAATTTAAAAAAAACGTTCAGTTTGAAATGGTACGTGGTATGTGTGCGAAATACCCCTGCACAACAAAGTATCTGCTTGTTTCCTGCAACAACCTAGGTAAAATGAGCAATAGTATTAAACAAACCAACAGCAGGCTATTTTAGGTGTGGTACACGTGGTGACTAAGCGGTTAACAAGAAGCCAGGTGCATACTAAAAATACTAGGAATAAAGATAAACTTCAAATACCATCTTTTAGATCAGCAACAGGTCGGCGATCTTTCTCATATAGGGCTGTTCAGCTCTGGAATGACCTTCCAGAAAGTTTAGCAAACATAGAGTCATTTAATGTTTTTAAGAATGCGATTTAAGGACGTGCACTTGACGAGTTTTTAAGCCATTGACACTCAATAGGTGTAATTATGCATATTTTATATATATTTTTTTAAATAATATGGTAATGTTTTATCACTTTCACATGTTTATTTTAGATTTCTATTGTTCATATTAGATTTTATTGTAATTGGTATGTGAAAACCCATTTTAATTGGATGTACCAATAAAGTAGATTGATTGATTGATTGATTGGTTAACGCTTTGACCTCAGCTGCAGGTCTTGGTCCGGTCATGCCTTGAGCACTCACAGTGCGACTACTGTAACCGGAGCTTAAACCGGAGCCACCTAGGCAAAGTTGACCAATCGGATGACACCAAAGTTGTTTGTAAATGTCCCGAGCTTTATATTGAAAGTTTCAACGCCAAAAACATCGTCTAATAATTGTTTTTGCTTTCTTGGACACGTTTGCTACTTGCTGCTTCGAGTAACTTATGATTTTTACGAGCTGCCAAATGGGCTCAAGACACTACTTACTCGAAATGTATTGTTATTTTCCTGTAATCCGATTGGTCACATTTGTCCAGGGAGCCTTCAAATCACATTTTAAAAATCAATTTGCAGGTCGTATTCCCCACAGACTTTCCCAAGAAGGGGAGCGGGGAGAAGGAGTGATTGGCCAAGCATGCACTTGGCACAAACATTAGATACGTCTGAACTGACTGGCTGTTGTTAGAAAACAGATAAATCAGAGACGTAATCCGAGATGTAAAACAAATTTTATCTTTCACAGTGTTGTAGATTACAAGTATCAAGAAATTAAAACAACAACAATTTACGTTGAAAGAATGACCGTGTCGTTGCTCAGATTACTTTGTGGATGAAATTCGTAGAAATAAATTTGAGACCATTAAAATTTTGAGAATAAGCAGCAATCTACCGAGATGTTGCAATTCCTCCGTAGTAAAGCCTAAAGCAATGTTGGGCCTTGTTTGGCCCTATGAAATAAGGCGCAAGTACCGAAATACATACACAGGAAGTAATGCATTCTCTTCTCCCGTGCCACTTGGCCTTTAAAGGCTACGCGACCACAAAGAAATGATGTGCTTTAGAAACGAGAATGGCAAAGATGTCATTCAGTCCTGGAAATCTTTTTTAAAGCCTGATCGTCATTTGCATACTCCAAAAGCAACTTTCCCCTTTCATTTAAACTACACAAAGAAAAAACAGAACACTCTAAGGCCTGTAACCCGCATCATACACCGCTATCCACTATCATTAATTACGAAATTATTGCTGGGCATGCGCAGGAACTCTCACCAAACCCTTCAGGGCCCAGTTGTTCGAAGACCGTTAACGTGGCGGGGGTTAAAGTTTACTTCGGGTTTCTTATTCTTTTGATCAAAAGCATTTTCTCGGATAATTTTCTCTATTCTTTTTAGAGCATCCAATTATCAAATTGTAGATAAAAAGAATTAAACTGGAGCTTTCATATCTTAATTCAAAATTTCGCGCTTTTTACTACTACGTGAGAAATTTGTGCAATTTGATTGACTCAGATCAGTGGTATTTCAGCTTAATTTGAAATACCCACATGTGAAAATTACAAACCTTTTGTGAGTAGTAGTATAAACAAATAATAGCATGATTTGAACGTGATATTTGGCATAAATACCACTCGTGATATTTCAAAATTTTCTCAAATTTCACTCTCCTAACGGCTTGTGAAATTACGTATAACAATTTTGAAATATCACTCGTGGTATTTATGCCAAATATCACTACAAATTATGCTATTACCTATACAAACCTGGGTTATCTTAACCCAGCTTTGAACAACCCGGCGCAGAGCTTTACGAGGAAAGCCCCTAAACAATATTACAACTGTTCCGGCGGCGCAATTTTATTTTTCTACCTCTTGTTATACCATAAAGGACTTTTAAACTGTCATCGAAAATTCAGACCCATTGGAAAATATTCCATTCTCATGTTATCATCACGTTTGTCCCTTTAATTGGATTTATTCACTTTATTCCTAATGTTGCACATCAATCAAAATTGTTTGAAATGTTAAATTATATTCTTTCTCTAATCTAATACACAATTGTTTTTCTTTTTTAGGAAATCTTTTTCCAGAGCCCTAGACTCTCTATCTAGGATGCTAACTCGTGGGCCCGAAGGTGCGAATTTTAACGACGGTTGACCAGTGTCAAGTTAGTGTAATTCAGTCACGTGAATTGTTTTTTATGATATAGCTATCTTTGAGAGCGAATCCGCGGTGCTGATAGGGCAAAAACTTAGATAACATCAGTTCCATTATTAATAGTAAAAACCCGCGAATAAGAACCTGAATTTTCCCAAGTTAGCCTAAACAGGTTCTTACTAAAATCGTAATTAGCACAAATTTAGGCCGTTTTGGTTCTTATTTTCTGAAGAAAAAAATACAGAAAATCTAAGAGTACTTGGTGGTATTCAACTTATTTCTTATATAACATCTGCATTCCATTACACTGCAGTTGGAGTGATAGTAAACCTCTGTCTCCAGAGAGAAGCCTGAATGTTGACTTGTCTTATTTGACCAAGTGTACAGAATTATTCATAGACTTTAGAAAATAAGAATCTGTTTCAAATTCTACCCTAAACTGGTTCTTGCATAGAGTGGGCCTAACTGGCAAATTTTAGCCTAACAGTTACTGAGGGAGTAAAAACGACTCGAAGTAATCGTCTGAAATTCAGGCCAGTTTTTAAAAACCAGGTTTTTACTTGCGGATTTATACTGTAATCTATATGTAAAAGATTCAGTTGTAAGCAATTGTCTGAAAATATCAAGATCGGCCAGAGGTCAGCCTGAGAATACAGCCTTCGAAACTAAGTTTCCTTCGTAAACGTCCCTATAGCTATCGGCGAGGAGCGAGGAGACACGACGGTATTGCAGGCTAGCTGGTGGTTGCACGGAAATCTTTCACTTCACTTAGCCTTCGTAGCAGGTGCTTAGAAGTTATAATTGCAAGAGAAAACAGAGCACGCGACGAAGACACTCGCGTCCTCCTCGTACGCTTCGTTCTTTCTTGCACCCATATTTCTTCCAAACGCCTGTTACGTAGGATACACCTCACGAAGTGTACATTCGTTTCGCATCGCACTAGCTGCCAACTAGTAAATTTCTGTTCAAAATTCAATGACATAAAATCATTTCTTCTATAGGAAACAAACTTATAGCTAATTTAGTACGAAAGAATGCTAATAGCACCTTTTCTATTTATCATTTAGTAAACGCTTCTAAAATTTTATTTTGTTAAAGACGGAATCTGAGAATGACACATTCTGCCGTCTTATTGTATTCCTTTCGCGTTGTTTAACCATTTATTTTACTCTTAAATACTCCAGTAGTTTCAATCCAATTACTGCCGGTGAGAACCGTAACAGTTTTGATATCCTGTATTTGCCTAAGCAGCGTAATGCAGGTTCGTAAATCGATTCCAGGCACCAGGCTCTTGGCAAGGTCCTTCAGTCTTTCGTCTCTTGAGAACAGCTGTTCAGGTCTGAATTTGAAGAGAAAATCTCTAGTTATTTTCTGAAACAGGGTAAGGGTTTCAGGAAGCAACTGCCGAAGACCCGAATGCTTCGACCCATCGGTCAATTCATTCGTAAAATTTAACTGTAGGAGATACTTAAAATGCACATTAAAAGAAAAACAAATGAAAGCAATTTGTTTTGAGATGTTAACCTTCGAGCCACGGCCAATTACCGTTAAAAACTGTGGATATATTTATTTATTTGGTTATTTAGTTAGATGGTTAATTAGATAGTTACTTTGATAGTTGCTTAGTTCAGTAAACATTTATTCTTATTTTTATTTAGTATTAGCCTGTAGATAAAAATGGACGAACTGTGCGTCAGACAATTCAAACGAGCATGATTCTTATTTATCCTGTGCAACGTGTTGTTTATCCATCTTCGTTTGCTTTTTGCACAGTGAAAAATTGCTTTCTCTTCAATTCAACAATTAGAATCAAGAAATCTAAGAGACAAAGGCTGAAACCCAGATTTTTCCTTTTGCACACCTTGACACGTGATCATATTTCTGACTAAGCTTTAATGTGGTTCTCACCTTTGATTGGCTCAAAATTCAATGTCACGTCATCGCCAATCAGCACGAATGGCGCCCAGTACTGCACCGCATTGAACTCTTCAGACTCTCGCATCCATTTCATGGCCTGATGAAGCGACTTACTTGCACTTTTCCCTTCTACCAAATGTTCATAAAAGTGTTTCATAAACTCCAGAGTGGCTTCGTCGCTCAGCGCCCACAGTGACGCGATAACGGAACGTGCCCCGGCTCCTAAAAAGGCACGTGCAATTCCAACCACGCCTTCGGCTTTGATCTCTCCGCGTCCACTGTAACAGCAGCTTAAAACAACAAGCTTGGCTCGCAATTGTACACCCAAAACATCTGCCTTTGTCAAAAGGAAGTCTCCCTCTTTCGGTCTTTCAGCATCAGCAACATTAGGAGACAAAATAATTTCTCCGGTTTCTCGACAACCATGAGCTGCAAGGTGTACCAAAGAAACTGAATTAAGCCTGCTCAAAACTTGGTCTTTTGTAGCTTTTTTCCCAATGAGGGGTTCAGTGTTGAGAATCTGTCCAATCATTTTTGCTTCTTTCTCAGCACCCGGGAGCTGCGAGAACGGTTTGCTGTCTTTGATGCGTACAGTTTCCACCCACGGATTACCAACAAGCAGTGCACCAGAAGTACTATGGTGACGTTCTGGACACTCTGTCAGCAGCCACAAGCTTGTTAATGATGGAGCCAATCGAATTCTCAGCGTTTCAGACAAATATCTGGATTGTTGGTCCATTAGGGCAGCATAAGGAATCAAGAATGATGCACGATCAGGGATAATAATGAGTTCATCACCGTTTATCAGGTCTGAAAATGGAGCGATAACCAGGTCATACAATGTTTTCAAAGTAGCACTCTCGTCGTCTTGCTGTGATATCAAGGGCTTGCACCTCACACCAGTCCTTACACCAATATTTTCGTATGTTTGGTAAATCAATGATGTCAGGTTACCATTTATTTCTTTTTGCATCATCTGACCCTGCTGTCCATTTAGAATTAACCAGAAACTCAATGATGTTTTAAAGTCTTCATGTCTTTCTTCTTCTGCTAGAAAAACAATAGGTGAGGAACTAAGGCTTGAATTGGACATTATCAGTTCCCTGTCCTGTTCTGACGACAACCATTTTCTGACGTCATATCGCGATTTCATGAGATCCATGAGAGCTTGTGCTCGTCCTGCCTCAGCTGTAGAGAGCGCTTCAAGAATCTTGCCTTGTCGTAACTGAAGACGCCTTAAATGAGCATAAGTAAAATCATGTTTATCCCGAAAGTTGATTACCCACTCGTCTTTCCCTTGAAGGAGGACTCTAGTTTCCTCTAACAGTCTTACTGAAGATCTGCAAAACTCCTCGGCTTCAAGAAAGTCATCAAGAGAACAAAAACAACAAGCGAGGTTTTTATGTAGACATGCTTCGGCATATTTGTTTCCAGTCTCTTTGCAATAGTTAGACTCAGCTGAAAAACTTCGATTGCTTTCCTGACATCACCGAGAGACTTATAGGCCATGCCAAGGTTGTTATATACAGCTCGTTCACAATTTTTGTTTCCAGTCTCTGTTGCGATATTTAGACTCAGCTCATAAAACTCGATTGCTTTCCTGACATCACCGAGAGAGTCATAGACAACGCCAAGGTTGTTATATACAACTCCTTCAGAATCTCTTTCTCGAGTCTCTGTTACGATATCTAGGCTCAGCTGATAAAACTCGGTTGCCTTCCTGAAATCACCAAGAGACGTATAGACACTGCCAAGGTTATCATATACAGCTCCTTCCAAACTTTTGTTTCTAGTCTCCGTTGCGATAGTTAGGCTCAGCTGACAAAACTCGATTGCTTTCCTGGACTCACCGAGAGAGTCATAGGCTTTGCCAAGGTGGTAATATACAGCTCCTTCCAAACTTTTGTTTCTAGTCTCCGTTGCGATAGTTAGGCTCAGCTGACAAAACTCGATTGCTTTTCCGGACTCACCGAGAGCGTTATAGGCTTTGCCAAGATTGTTATATACAGTTCCTTCCAACCCTTTGTCTCCAGTCTCCGTTGCGATAGTTAGGCTCAGCTGATAAAACTCGATTGCTTTCCTGAACTCACCGAGACAGTCGTAGGCACCGCCAAGGTTATTATATACATTTCCTTCCCAGTTTTTGTCTCCTGTTGCGATAGTTATGCTCAGTTTATAAAATTCGACTGCTTTCCTGTACTCACCGAGAGAGGGTAATAGGCACTGCCAAGGTTGTTATATACAGTTCCTTTACCATCTTTGTCTCCAGTCTCTGTTGCGATAGTTAGGCTCAACTGAAAAAACTCGATTGCTTTCCTGACATCACCGAGAGACTCATAGGCACTGCCAAGGTTGTTATATACAGTTCCTTTAGAATCTTTGTTTCCAGTCTCTGTTGCGATAGTTAGGCTCAACTGAAAAAACTCGATTGCTTTCCTGACCTCACCGAGAGACTTATAGGCACTGCCAAGGTTGTTATATACAGTTCCTTTACCATCTTTGTTTCCAGTCTCTGTTGCGATAGTTAGGCTCAGCTGATAAAACTCGATTGCTTTCCTGACCTCACCGAGAGACTTATAGGCACTGCCAAGGTTGTTATATACAGTTCCTTTACCATCTTTGTTTCCAGTCTCTGTTGCGATTTTTAGGCTCAGCTGATAAAACTCGATTGCTTTCCTGACCTCACCGAGAGACTCATAGGCACTGCCAAGGTTGTTATATACAGTTCCTTTACCATCTTTGTCTCCAGTCTCTGTTGCGATAGTTAGGCTCAGCTGATAAAACTCGATTGCTTTCCTGACCTCACCGAGAGACTGATAGGCACTGCCAAGGTTGTTATACACAGTTCCTTTAGAATCTTTGTTTCCAGTCTCTGTTACGATAGTTAGGCTCAGCTGATAAAACTCGATTGCTTTCCTGACCTCACCGAGAGACTGATAGGCACTGCCAAGGTTGTTATATACAGTTCCTTTACCATCTTTGTTTCCAGTCTCTGTTGCGATAGTTAGGCTCAGCTGATAAAACTCGATTGCTTTCCTGACCTCACCGAGAGAGTAATAGGCATCGCCAAGGTTGTTGTATACAATTCCTTCAAAGGCTTTGTTTCCGCTCTCTTTTGCTTCCTTCAATGTCAATTCAAAGTAATCTCGCGCTGTTTTAAAATTACCATCTTTGAAAGCTTTTTTTCCCAT